ATATAATGTCAGTTTGGAGGATAACTGAAAAATAAAACTCATGAATCACTGAATTATTTAAATTTGAACTTATAAAGTTACCGAATTAATATTTACTGAAGAACATATGTGTAAAGATCAAATTTAAATTTTTTTATAGCCCATTGTCCTCTCGATTGAGTTTTTCAACAATTTAAAAGGTTAACTATAAGTTTCTTTTTATTATTCTTAAATAAATTTTTTTCTTTTTTAAAAATTATTTTTTTGCAAGGCTTTCCTGCCCCCTCCACTTATTTGCTTGAGCGGTGAAATTAAAGATGGGAAGTGAAAAAGATTCACGTGAAAATCTTTTAAAAAATGCTTATGTTTATCCCCCAATTTTTTAATAATAAACAAAAAATTGGGAAAGCATTTTCACATATCAAATAAAAATAGGGAATCAAAAACCAAGCTTGATCAAATGCCAAAAAAGTTTAAAAATAATCAAATAATTTTTTTAATTATTAATTTTCTATCGTTTAAACAGGATTTATTTTAATTACCTAAGTTAACTTTTTATATATATTTTTTAATGATATTTTTTATTTAAATTGTCAAATTAAAAAAAATTTTTTTACCATTTTATTTTCCGGAAGTAATTTTAATTAATAAAAATAATTAGTAAAAATTTTGCAAATTTTTATTATTTGCAAATTCAACACTCTAGGTCTGAACTTCTAAAAATTGAACCGTTGAAAAATAACTGACAGTGAAGAATGGAACTGAAAGAAGGAACCTAATGAAACCGGCAGGACTTGGAGTAGTTACCTCTACATGTTATTTACTATCCTTATTAGGCTTGCCAAAATGGACCGATACGGACCAAAAGATCTAGTCGGGCCTAGATGTTTGGCCCGAAAATGACTCGTCCGGCCCTACTCGATGCCTCGACCATTGGCCTGACTCGAAAATGGCATAGTATATAATGTCTCAATACTGCAATAGTACATATTATATAAAAATATTTTGCATCTAAACTCTTGGAATTATAAATAAAATATGAAGTTTTAGGGTGTGTTTTTAATTAATTAACACAATCTATATTACTCAATTATAAAATTTTTAATTATTAATCAATTTAATTAATTAAAATTTTATTTTTGCGTTTTTAAATTTGCGCACAATTAATTTACAACAATGGTTGAATACAAAATCAACTTCCTATTTGTCCTTACCTAAGGGACTTCCGGCGTCTTCCGGCCTCATCTCTCTCACCATCACTACTCTCACTCCCACCCTCCCTTCCCTTCCCTTCTCCTTCCCTTCCCATCCCCTTTTCCCCTTCCCATCACTACTCTCACTCCCTCCCTCCCTCCTCCTCCACCCAAATTCCCCCACACCTCCCACATAGCTCCCTATTCCACAACCCTCTTTCTATCCTCCCTCCTACTCCTTATTTGTAGGTAATATAAAATAAATTATTGAGCTATTTTAAGCATTATTTTAATTAAATTTATATTTTATTAAAAATGAATAAATTTTTTAAATTAAATAATTGTCAAATTAAAGTTTTTCTTCAATTAAAAAATCCTTTAAAATAAGCTAAAAATTAAAATTATATTTGAAGTTAGATTAAAACTTTTAATCCCCTTCCTCAATAATTAGGAGTGTAGATTTGGGAGAGTGCAGTTAAGGAAGAGGCATTTTTTAAATAAAGATCTCTCATTTTATTATCACATGCTGCGCAAGAGAATGTCCGATGTTTAAGCTCTTAACACTCTTTCGGCAAATAATAAAGGATGGATCTGTAAAAAATTTTATAAACAAATTTAGGGGAAAATTTTTAAAGGAAAATATTGAATTTCATTTTTTAGTGTATCGGAAATCCAATTTGCAGCTTTTAAGAAGTTCCTGTCCATGATTCCGATACAGGAACTTACAGATAGCAGAATGGCCGGAATTCAGCATTACGACCCCTTTGGCATGTGCTTTATTCTATCTAAATTTCCACATCTATGTATGTGTAAATTTGTTCTTAATTTTGTCCAAACAAATCTCAGAAAGCAATAATTTTTATCTTCTTTTTTTATCCTCTCATGAGCATATCCTGTAATCTTTTTGCATTTTTAAACAAAAATATGGAAAAAATTATTTTTAATAAATTATTTTTAATTATAACTTTTCTAAGTGTAGGATCTTGTAGGATTAGTAGCTACCGCATAATTGCTTTCACGGAATTTGGAGTCCGTAAAGTTTGGAGTACCCCCGATCACTCCAGCTCAGCAATTTATTTCCGTCTCAACTATTAACTTCCGTATTAGCATGGCTTCCGTTTTAATTATTGTATAATTCTAAATCCTTATCCTGATTTTACAAATAAAAGTCGATAAAATTGAAAAAAAATTCCCCCTGCCATTAAACCCTGCCATTCTCCATTCTCCCCCTGCCATTCTCACTATCCTCCTTATAATACATAGTAGTCGATTTTAGACAAGGAGGAGGCCCTTCCCCCATTTCAATTTTTTATTTTTAAATTTTTATAAAATATTTATTAAATAAAATTTATTATTCTGAACTTTTAAAAATTCATTCAAAATTGTTTATGAAGCGTAAACTTTAAATATTTAAATTATTCAAAAAATGCCTTCTTTGAAGAATCCTCCTTATTTACTTTGGGTTCTAATATTTTTTAATGTTATTTGCATAACAGAAACAATGTATTCTGATTATACAAATGAAGCAAGCACTTCACGTAACAAATTTTTAAAGCTATAATCATTCATTAAAATGATAAGCTTAAATAGGATCCTTAAATTATAATTGGATACATCCTTGGATACATCTTTTTCTCAGTAGGAGCATCCCCTAGAAAAGGGTGTTCAGGCTTTCGACCACTCCTTGGATACGGGCTACAACAAGGCTTTTATTAATTCTTTAGACCTCCCTCGATAGGCTATCAAAGCTTTTATCTTAATCAATTCTTGACTATATTCTGAGATGGGTGGCATTTATTCTGGAATGGAAGGACTTTCAGCCACTTACCTAGAAAAATTTTTTTTCTTAAACTTGTGTTAGTATAGTTTTGTATTGGCACAGTGATTGAGCTTTATTCAAAAATAATTTTTAAATAAAAATAGTTACGAAGACTATAATGAATTTTCAGGATCTGGATATTACCCAGGAGAAGAATACGAGTATGATGAAGGAGAGGGATACGAGGGTGATGAAGGAGAGGAATACCAGTGTGGTGAAGGAGATGAATACCAGCGTGGTGAAGGAGATGAAGGAGAGGAATACCAGCATCAAGAAATTTCAGTAAAAAGGAGGATAATTTTGGCATCAAATGCCCCTCCATTTCATTTAGAAGAGTATAAGCCTACTCTCTATAAAAAGGAAAAGCAGAAAAAGAAACCCTTTTTTAGCAGAATTTTTAGGGGTTGCAAGAATGTAGATATTAAAACCCCTGAAGAGCCAATTAAACAAGGATGGCATATTGAGCAGGTATTTTATTATAGATAAGGATTCTATAAATTTAGAAAAAGACTTAAAAACGAGACAAATTTTCACGTAAAAATTTTAATAAAACTTTTATTTAATTGACAGAATATGCTCAAATAATTACTTTCTCTCTCTCAAATAGTTGCCCCTCTCAGATTAAATTAAGGCTGGTTCAACTAACAGTATTTAAAATGCTTAAGCGGGGGATCTATAAGGAGAGCCATACTGAACTTTCAAATTTCAAAACTCGAATAAATCTCTCACTCGAGAATAAATCCTTCCCTCGATAATTACCCATGATAATTATTTGAACATATGAATGATTTTATAATAATTTAATATTTAATTTAAATCAAAATAAGGCTTCTGGAGGTCTTGTTTCAGCTGTTATGCCAGTAATGGAATCTGACAAAAAAAATGTTTGGGTCTTTCATGTTACACGTAATTAAGTATTTTTTAACATGTTAACTCAGGCTGAACTCTATAAGACAATAAAATACTTCAAATTGAAATAAGTTCTTTAAAAATTTGATTGGTCAATGAGGGATAGTGTTGTGCCGGAAGTTCCTGTTCTTTTGCCGGGATTTTTTAGTTCCGGTTCCGGTACTTTTTAACCCTGGTTCCTGGTTCCGGTACTTTTTAACACCCCTAAGGGTAATTTTCCGTTATGCCCCCTCCCCCTAAATTAATGCTAAAAATGTCATATATAGGGTAATAGAAGGTGCTGAATCGACCAGTACCGCTCTTTTTTCCAGAGATCTCTGTGGACTGAGATAAGATAGTGAACCCTATTTCAATACAAAAAAAATTGAGAAACCATAATTCTAACAGATAATAAACATAATATTTAAGCAAGCGACTCTACGGTACAACCAGACCCAAAGCTTGAAGCAATCAAAAATTATAGACCTAGATCACGTTTTGGTTTAAAAACAGTAATGATTTAATAATTATATAAAATATTAAAATAAAAATGAATAAAATTTTAAAGGTTTTGATTGATTTGCTTAAATTTACTAATTATTACCAAGAAATTAGCAATAGTATTTTATGGCCAGCGCTTCATAATATCTATAAAAATGTTTCAATTAATCAGGAAATCCTTGCTGAATGTCTCAACGGTATAATAGATATAATTTTCAAACTTATGATAATCTTGATTTCGCTAAGATCTCGATGAGTAGAGGATGGGAGATCATGATAGTACTAAAAAGTAAAGCAGCTGGGCTATAGCTATAGTATTTCTCTCCTTCAGCTAGTTCAGAAGGTTAATCAGCGGCTGTGAGCGAAAGCATCTTCAGTAGACCGGACTCATGAGTTATCCACTACACCACGCCGCCTACTGCATAGCCTTAGGAATAAACATATATGCTTTACAAGAGTAGTAACAGGACGAGACTCTCGGTCAGCATTTTTGAGATGTTAGTCAATCTGTTAATAAATAAAAATAATAATTTATCTGTTGCCTATCTCAATAATCAGCTATCTAAACAAACATACAAGTAAATATTTTTATTATTACAGATTATAGAAAAGTCAATAGAATGTTTGCCCGAAAAATTTATAAACTAAACAGAACGGATAATGATTTTATTTGGATACACGACTATCATTTATTATTTGTTGGAAGGTATTTACGAAAGATGGAAAATGAGGAACAGGATAATGTGAAACCTATGAAATTAGGCTTCTTTTTACACACACCTTTCGAATTCCCAGCAAATTTGGCAAAAAAATTGACAGAAAAAGTGACAGAAGAAGTATCAGAAGAATCATCTGACGAATTGGAAGAAGAAGTGCCAGAAGAAGTATCAGAAAAGTCAGAAGAATTGCCCGTAGAATTGTCAGAAGAAGTTAAAGCTAATTTAGAAAAACTGACTAAAGAAATAATTATTGGAATCCTAAGTTTTGACAAAGTTGGATTTCAAACAAATAAAGATCGCTATAATTTTATAGAACTTGCACAAACGGTATATTTAATATTCTACTACCAATTTAATATTCTACTATACTTTTACTTAACAAAATTGTGTCGTTGCTAGAGTATCGTTATCAGAATTTCTAGCCCACATATTATACCCACAATATTTTTTTGTTATTTGAATCAACCACTCAGATTGCCTAAAATATAGTTCTTGGGATAAAGTTAGTTAGTCAACCCTCATTCGTTAGCAAAGCATCTGACCTGAGGAACCATAAGGATAAATCCAGGTGTGTTTAAATCCCTCTATAAGCATTATTTTTTAATTTTGATAAATATAATTTATAAATACATAGTATTTATTATTATTGTAGCGTTTCAACATTCAAATTAACCCAATATACAATGACAATATTTTCAATATTTTTGCTGATGGAATTACTCCAGTTAATGGAAGTAATTTAGGTGTTTATCCTGCAAGTATTCAAACAAATTATTTTCATAATCTTGTTAATCAGGAAAGTACCAAAAAGGCAGCAAAAGATTTTAAAGAAGATGTAAATTATTAACTAAATTTCTAAAAAATCGCAAAAATCCCTCGGATATTATCACAAAATAACGTATCAGAAAGAGACTGAGGACTAGAAATAAAACTTAGATTTCTGTTGTTATATCCTTTAAAGATAACGGGAGCAGGCAAACGTACCGCACTTCGTTCAAAATAGTCGAATCCGGGACGCCTTGGTATGGTTCGATGCATCTCAACGAGCTGAATAAAACTATGCTTAGGGCCTCTCAGATTCGACAAGTTTGGACAAAATTATAACTCTGCGGTACGTTGGCCTTGCGGTTTGGTACCAAGCCTTGCGATTGGTGTGTACCCAAAGATAATAGGAGGAGCTCAGCCATATTTCATAAAAATAAAATGCGCAAGAGAGAAAGAAAGTCCATCCCTAGAAATAAAGTCACATCTAGCAACTGTCTCTACTCAAAATATTTTAAATTTTAAAATTCAGACAATGAAAAAATCCTTAGAAGGGGGTAAACTTTTCTTTAGTGTTGAACGTTTTGATTACACTAAAGGAATTTTGGAGAAATTAGAAGCCTACGAAAGATATCTTAAAAACCATCCCGATAGAATTGGTAAAGATGTGTTTTATCAATTGGCTCCATTAAACCGTCAAAAAATACATACCTACAGCAGGTATCAGGTAGAAACTTGAATTTTTTGATCTAAAATTTATTTAAAATTAGAATGATTGTAGAGGTCTAGTATGGAAAATTAATAAAAAATACGGAGAAGATTATGAAAGGGAAGACGGGCAGATAATTAAGAAAGGATATGTGCCAGTTGATATCCGCACGGACGGTATGAAACGAGAAGAATTAGTTTTGCGTTATATGGCTATGGATATTGGGATTGTTACACCTGTAAAGGATGGAATGAATTTGGTTTGGGATTTTTTGAAAATTGAAAAAAAATATTTTTTAAATAAAGGTAGCTAAAGAAATGATTTTAAGTAATCCAAAAGCTGCTCTTATCCTTTCTGAAGGTGCAGGAACTCATCATCAATTTTCAGAAAATAGATTGGGTGGAGAATATCATTTGGTAATCACATTATTTAAACAAATTTAAAGTAAACACCAATTGGTAAAGTTTGGTTCAGACCCCCCCCCTCCCCTCTTTCGTGTTTCCCTGACCATTTTAAACTTTTTGCTTGTAGTATTTGCTTGTAGTACCCACAATTAGTATCTAATCACGGAGGGAATACACGAAAAGTGGGATAGTGTAGTGAGGTGTTACGCATATGCTCGAATAATTACCTTCTCTTAAATAATTAACCCCTCTATCGAGAGGTCTAAGCAGTAATTATAAAGGATAATTATTTGAGCATATACATACATATATCGGTTAGTTAGTTATGGCCATATATGGGTCGTATATCATTCTGAAGGTTAAAGTCGCTTTATAAAAATTTTATCATAACAAAATTTAAATGATAAACTTTTCTAACAGAAATTGGCTGGTTAGTACGACAGAATTGGGCTGGTTTAGTACGAATTTTAATTACATGGAAAAATCATATAACGTGTTTGCGTATGTCTCGGGAATGTATGGATGAAAATCTTGTTCCGAATGAGCTTTTTAAAGTTTAATAACCATATCCCAATTTTAGACCGGGTTCCCTAGGAAATAATCCTGAATAATCATTATTTATTATCAGGTAACGGATATTACTAAGAAAAATGAGTTTGCTGATGTTATGCATGAAGCTGTAACAAACCCCAAGAATTGTGAAAGACTTAACGAATACCTCGGAAAAAACGACGTTGATAAGTATGACAAGAATTTATTGAGCCTTTATTAATTACTAAAAATTATTTCCAGATGGGGTGCTGATTTTTTAAATGGAACGGATTGAAAGAAACACTGGACTGATTCGTAGAAAATTAGCTAGAATCATTTATAGATTTCGATTAGCTATTTTATCAAATTTTTAGTAAATTTTAAATTTTTTTTTGATAAAATGAAATTTTTTTGGAATTAATACTTGAAAATAATTTTAAAATTTCTAATCTAATCAAAATACTAATCAAGCTTACACCCTCTCCTTTGAATGATCATTTCTGCTTTAGAACATCCCCATTCAATACATTGCTCTAACGAGTAACTACAAACAAATCCAGAGATGAAACCTTTAAGAATATCTTAATTTTTGGTATTTTTAAACCTCCAGCAAACGCATCTCCAGCACAGCTGGAATCAACTAGTGTTCCATTTGGTATCTCTTTAACTTTGTATTCAATCAGGTGCCCATCGTTTTTGATCACTATTAATGGTAACGCATCTCTAGTAATTACAATCACTCTCTCGTTTAAGCTGTTAAACTTTGAATAAGATGTTAGTTTGGAAGTATTTCTAGGGAAAAACTCGGGAAAACTTTGTGGAATTACTATTTCTTGAATTTTTGTCCAGGGCAGTGTGTTGGATCTGAGACTGAATATCTCTGGATAAGTTTGTGAATATTTCTAATCTCACTCAGCTACGTACAACTATTATAATTTTTTATGTCATATTTTTCATACTCTCAAAAAGTTCCCGATGCCCGGAAATCGTGAATTTTTAACTATTTTTGGGGCGTGAATTGAAGATTCAAGATAATCGTAAATTGAGGCTCCTTCTCTATAACCAGCATATTATTAATTTTATTATCTCTACCTTCTCATATTTTGCCATTTCTAATCCAATATCTTTAATATCCTCTTTTTTATCAAAATTCATTTCGTTTGCAAATGCCCTATATTCATCTTCATTACCTCAAATTTAAATTTTAGTGAATTTAAATTAAATTGAGTTAAATACCAAAAATTAAATCCGAATATTTTAAAATAATCTCAATCTCTTTTTTAAATTTCTTAGCCAAATATTCAGCTCCCATATTGAAAATAAATTTTTTATTTTTGTTAGCAGCATATTCACATATCCTCATTATACAATTTGGAGAAACGTTGAGGAAATGGGTCTAATTTTTTAATTTGAAATTTTTTAAAATTCATACTGAAGTGTAATAAACGTTAGCATTTTCAATAACCGACCAGTTTTCAGGGGTTTCCAAAAATTTCAAATTAAATTTGCTCGCTGCTCCAAGATTGGCACACATTGACCTTTTAAAGAATTAATTTAGATTTTAGTGCATTTATCAACGTTAGGCATCTACTAGGGTAGCAACCCGACTCCTCTGGATTGGAAGTGACGTAGATCGGGAGTTGGGGGTCTCGTCGGGTTTTTCCAAAATAATTTTTGGGGGCGGGTTGCTTCTCTAATTGAAACCGGGGGAGAGGGAGAGTTGCTTCTCTAGTTATTTAACATTAAAAAACCTCTTCGTCCCATTTATCATTGTTAAGCATCTACCAGTATATTCATCTTCAATTTTTTGACACAACATACGTAAACCTGATTTTTGACATTCTGACAGTAATGTTTCTGAATAATCATCATTTCCTACAGAACCAAAAAATGTCGCAAAATTTGTAATTGGCTAATTGAAAATTATTTCTTAATCAGTCTGAATTATTTTTAAATACTTTATTATCATTGTTGACTATTTTGTTCATTGCCCATTGAAAAATCCTAACTGTGTTAAGTATTGTACCTCCAGGCGTATATTCAATATTCGGATCACTTTGAGAGTTGAGAATCTCGTCGATTCTACAGATCAAAATGGATTATATTGGTCTAGTGATACTGACTACATGATTCACGAAAATTGTGAACGATGTTTTTATCGCCAGGATCCCATATTAATTGATAATTTAGATCACTAAGAGCTGGAGACTTAGATGTTAACTAAAGAATGAACTCTACTTAGTTATACCTAAACTTCAAATTAGGGTTGGAGGCCCGATCCGGTTCGGTCCGAAAGATCGAGTCGAGCATTGAATTTTGGCCCGAAAAATACTAGGCCGGTCCGATAAAAATGAGGCCCGAAAAAAGGACTTGAACGTCGGCCCGACTCGAAAACCCCAACCCTACTTCGAATGTAAGGCAAGAGAAGTGTAACATACTCTATGATCTCTAACTTAGTCTAAAAGACTTAATTTTAAAATAAAATACTAAAATTATAATTATATCAAAGAATAATTAATGAACTATTTAATTAAAGGATCTTGGGATTATTATTTTAAATTATTATTACAATTCGTCCATATATTTTTTTGTAACAAGCATAGAACCATTTTCCTCAAGACTGTGATTTTGTATAAATTGTTTGTCCACATTTGCCGTTATATCTTAAATATAATTAAGGATAATATTATTATTATTATTATTTTTCTACCTAAAAGAGGATTTCCTATTCCAACAAGAATATTTTTGTAATTCATAATTGGACACAAAATTTTTAATTATTGAACAAATATAATATGACATAGCGACTTTTTTATCTTTTAAAATTATCAGTAAATGATTAAATTACAATTTTTGATAAATTATTATCAAAAGAAGAAATAAAACAACTATACTTTTAGAAAATTTAAAGGGCTTTGAGGAAAGTCGTAGATATTTTTAAGGATGTTTACTCTCGGTTTTAGTGTTCTACCCCGTCCTTGTACCTGAAAGTCGGGAATTTGAGACATTTTTTGAAACCCCCCGTTCCCGTCCCCCCACTCCGTGGTGCTGCCAAATTTCCACATGGCCCGAAAATTCCCCCGTTTAACCCTACCCCCGTTAATCATACTTCCCCAGTTTACCCCTACTATAATTATTTGGCACCTTTATCTTTCGGAAAATAGGAAAAGAGTGTATGTAAAAAATTTTTTGTTTAATAATTCTCTCTATCTAAATTTATCCAATTTGTCCAAATTCTCTCTACATTTCATCGTCACAAGCGCATGATCCTTCCGATGAAATCAAATAACAAACAAAAATTATTTTCAAGGTTAAAGAGACATATTGTTCATCAATAACGTCTGTCTGTAGAATACGCCGTTTTTTATGACGAAAAAAAGCTAGCGGCAAAAAATAAAATAAAAAACGAACGGCTGGGAGTTGAAGGAATGTGAGTAGATAGATGACTAATTATTTTTCTGGTTTTTATGTTCGTTTTTTTGATAGAAGACCAAAAAAAATTAAAAAAATAAGCAAAAAATTTACATGAAAGTTGGTGGATGGTACGACGAAAGATGTTACTTTTTTGGGTGTTTTTTGGATGTTTTTTGGATGTTTTTTGGAGGGAGGGGTAAGGAACTAGCAGAATAAGAAAGCAGCTTTTTGATAAAAATGATATTCAAGGTTATGAAAGTTGGATCATTTAAAGAGTGAAATTTACACAATAAAATTCATTTTAAAATTAATCGAAAATAACACAATCAGAGAAATTTGTAAACGACTTCCCATAAAATCCACTCACTAAAAATGTTTCCAAAATGCCAACTAGCAACTTCTAAACCAATTTCTACATTATTACTCTTCCTCACAATAATTCTATTCCTTGATTCCGTAACTCCTCTTGGATTCGGAGGAATTTTAGGCGGAACAGGAGGAGGAGCCTGCTCAACTTCAAGCTGTAATTGCCAACCTGTAGCACAACAAGCACCACCACCCGTTCCTGTATGCTCCCCACAACTTCCCCCACCTCCAGCTCCTCTATGTGCCCCAGCATTTCCTGCTCTACCAACTTTACCTCCACTTCAACCTCTGCAATTCCCACAACTTCAATTACCTACATTCGGTAATTTTTTAAAATTAGCCCAATAGAATCCATTTTCTAACCCAAAATAATTTTAAGGTAATAGTTTTGGTTGTTCCTCATGTTCCTCAAATGTTGCGGCCGCTCCTCTACCACCACCTCCCCCTCCCCCTCCAGCTGCAACTTTGTGTTCATCCGGCTGTTGTGGCTCAAGTAGTGCCAATTGTAATCCTCCAAATAACAATCAGGCAGCTTATGCCAACAATAACCGTCACAATAACAACAATAATAATCAAGGAGGATATTCAGAAAAATTTTAAAAGATTAGAAAAGAGCAATTCAGGGAGTGATGGATCTCTAAAATGGTTTTAAAGGAATGAGGAATTTTTTATTATTTTTTGTTTAATATTTGAATTATTTGCTGTACTCCAAAGAATTTGTAAATAAATTTTAAAATTTTATTTCTTTAAATTTTATTTATTATTCTACAATTTACAAATTTACAAAAATTTCTAAAGTGAAAATAAGGCAAAGATAAGATTTTTAATAAGCCCTTTCTACTAAAAATAAGCTAAGATTTGACTTCAATTTTCTCAAATTTGTTCTCATTTTCCACATCCACAACCGCATCCACAGTTAACAAATACTGACACAGCTGGACCACAACAACCACCGCCACATCCTCCTAAACAGGAAAAAAATAATTAGGATACAAATTAGCTCTTAATAATTACCTCCACATGATGGAGCAGGGACTGGAGGAGGAGGAGGTGCTCCTCCGCAAGGATTGCAGCAACAGCAGGGCGAGCCACATGGAGCTGGAGGAGGAGGTGGTGCACAAGGTTGAGGGCAGCAACAACAGCAACCTTTAGATTCTCCACCACCTCCTAATCCGCCGAAAAGAAAGCTTTGAGACAAAGGCAATTCCACAATGAGGATTACTGAGAGGATTGCAAAGAAGGTTGAAAATTTAACTGGAGACATTATTATTGTTGTTTTTGAGGGGTTTGAATGTGTTTTGAAGGAGGAAAGTTGGTGATTATGATAACAAATTGAACATCTTTATATATGGACAAATTTTAAGGCCAAAACACGTTACACTAATTTTTTGTTAAACAGAACAAAAGAAAAATCAAAGCCGAACTTTGATCCAAATTAGCAGACCAATGAGCAGAAGAACAATAAAAACAAAAAAAATTTTGGTAACCGATAGCCTAAGGGCCATTGCACAATTTTGATTTGAAACGAACGGTGATAGCATATTTTGTAATAAAAAACAATAAAGAGACGAACACATAAAAACAAAGAAAAAGCATTAATGCAAATCCAGTTTAATAAATTGTAAAATAAAAATAAAAAATTTTGTTATTATTCCTGTTCAACCAGTCAACGCTAATTAAGTTTAAAATATTTTTTTATTACCTAATTGTTGTAATTAATAATTTATTAATTTGCAAAATTAATCGGCTAATTTACAGGGTGATCCGTAAATTTGGTTCAGGAAAATTCTTAAGATCCTTTAGGGTCCGTCACTCAGTTTCAAACTTTTTTAATTTTTGTTATTAGGCATTGTTTCTTCTTTTGGATTAGCCAAACTTTTTTACCCTTTTCTATGTTATGGATTGGAATTTTCCAATAAGTTCCAATCAGTTCCAATCAGTTCCAATGAGTTCAAATCAGTTCCAATCAGAAGGGATTGGAATTTCTACCAGAAATCCCTTCTAGCTTTATATTACTTTTAGCCTACATTTCTTTAAAATCAGTGTTTAGACAACACTTTTATCCCTACCCAAACAATCTTAAATTAAAGACTCTAATAGGCCCTAAATTTAATTTAAAATATCGATTTTAAATGCCATCGAGAATCTGCCTTGATTGCCCTTCCCTTCTTTTATAAAAAAATTTTTAAAATGAGAGGCATTTAAAATTTTCTCTCCACCACGCGGCTGTCAGATGCTCTCGCCAATTCCCCCGCCATTCGTCATTTTACAAGGGCATTTATTAATTTTATTTTTAAATAAATGTTTATTACCTTCATTTTATTTTTAAAATTAAATTAAAACTCCCCCATAAAATTAAATTATGAAAAATTCAAAATTTGTAGCAAAATCTGGAACATGAAAGAGAAAATTCGCTTGTTCAGTTTATCCCCTCTTGTAAATATTATGATAGTTTTTTTGATTTTGTTTTTTCTACATTTATCGAGTGAAGCTGCTTTGCTCTCAAAAAGAGACCCTTCAATGCCTCAACAAGTTCATTTGGCCCTTACAGGCAAAGAGAATGAGATGAGTATAACTTGGATAACTCTTTATGATTCAAGTATGTTTTGGAGCTCCTTCTAATTAAATAAGAGATAATATTAAATTATCCTTAATTGGCAGGGTAGAGACTGCTTGAACTGCTTGATGAATTATCAAAATTAATTTATTGTATTCTAATACAATGCCCTCTCCATTAGAATGGCATCTCCAATTGAATGGTCCTTTTTTGGGGGTATAGAAAAATAAAATAGCGGCAATTCTATTAGAATAAATACGGTATCTCCCTTTTGACCGATATTTACTTTCTCTCAAATAATCGCACCTCTTTATTAATTACCTCCTCGAATAAGAAGATGGGATATTAAATATAAACACCAAATGCCCTACTACAAGTTCCAATTTCAAAACTCGAATAATTGCCCCTCTCAATTAATCACCACCTCTAGCAAAAGTTCGAGATAATATTAACAGTGTAATTATTATTAAAGAATACACGATATTTTCTATAAATTTACATCCCAAACAAGCTGAATTTTAAGCTAGTTAACTTATTCTTTTATCATTCCCGATGTCACAACCCCATTTAGTGTAATTTTCCAGTAAAAACATTAGTAATAAAGAATAAAATTAGCTTTATATCTGCTCAATTCTTAACCAAAAACAATGTTTTTAGGATATACGAAAGGTGTGCACACATTTGTCGACTATTGGGAATTCGAAGACAAAAAAACAATGCGAAAAACAAACAGAAAAACAAAAACAATGACGGCAAAGCCTATTAAACACAAATATTCTGACACAATTGAAGTAATAAAAAATTTAGATACGGACTTTATTTAAAAAAAATATTTCTAGACTTCGTGTGCAACAAATTTGGAACATTTAAAAACTCGTTATATTCATCGAGTTACCCTTACAGGGTTAATTGAAAATAAAAGATACGGTACTTTATTTGGCGAAAAATTAAATTTTTTAATCAAAAATTTGACAGAATATCAAGTTGGATATTTCAAACCTTCCAAAATTCGCGGGGTAGAGTGCACAATCCCGCAATCTTTTTCTGAGGGAAAAGATCCTCGCCATTGTAAAAAAGTGACAAGGAAAGACGTCTTCAATTTTTTCATGTTCCCTTGGTCAAATCCCGTCGATTATGATTTTACAATTGCAATATTTGGTGATCTGGGATTGAAAAAGCCGAGTGCCAATGTTTCTGATAAGGTGAAAAATTAATTTATAATCTGTAGGGACACCAAATTTGGACTATCTTTTTTACGTTTCTGAAGTCGTGCATGGACTATAAAAGCGTAATAATACTAATAATAACATTAATAATAACACGAATCCTTGTATAGTAGATATACCTTTAGGTGTATCATGAACAATAATTAGTTCCTCATAAATGATGTAAGCAGATCTCTAATAAAACCCCTCTAAGTAAGGGAGAGAATTCCTAAGTTACTTCAAAGGTTTCTGAAATACTTATATGCAGTTCAGAATATTAAAACATTTTATACATATTAACTATTTTAAAATTTAAGCTGTCATGGAGAAGTCCCAAATATGATAAGCTTGCTCCTCAGGCATTCGAGTCCTTAATAGAGCTTGTTCACAGAAATGCTAACCCAACCCATCCGATGCTTAATAAATTGAAACATCCTATTCACAAGTCGCATTTGGATGAAAAAAGTAGTGGATTTAAAATGCAAAGTGTTCAGCTTATTTTACATATAGGTTTTTTAATCTCATAAATGTTAAAATAAATCAAATCAGGTGACATTGCTTATAATCTACACACTTGGCGTTCAGAGGGGAAGAAACAAAATTGTAAATTCTACAATCTAGGAGACCGGTTTATGACGATTATGGAGAATGTTGCGGCATATGTGCCGTATCTGGTATATTATTTTATAATGATAAAGATAAAGGGGTAACCATAATCTTAAAAAGAAAGTTGACCCAGGCAGCGGTTTTGCCATCTGCTGTTAAATCTTGCTTTATCATTAATTGGGTCTATCCATTATTGGGCCTGCCAAGAATTATCAGTTATTGGGGTCATTTATATTTACCGTTTTTGAGTGTAACTTCTAGGTATGAAGATCCCATCAAGAATAAATTGTCGAATTTTTTAGGTAATTGCTGGTAACCATGAAAATGAGGAGAAGAATGAGAACAGACCAGATCCGCCTGGCCCGGATTCATCATTTTTCAATCCACAATACGAACATTTTGAATCGCGCTTTTTTATGCCGAGGAATCTAACTAACCATGCTACAAATCATTATTATCAGTATAACTTAATTTTTCATTAAAATTATCAAAAATTATTGTAGCTTTAAATATGGTCCCATCTTTTTTGTTTGTGTAAGCACAGAATTTTATTATTCCTATTCAAAACAAGAACCGTTCAAATGGATACCGGATGTTGCCCGAATTAAAAAACAATACGAATTTATTAAATACAGTTTGAAGGTAATTAGATGTTCAGATTGAAGCCCTCGCTAATTTAATTATCAATTTAAGGAAGCAAATGAACAGCGTGAGAAGTATCCTTGGCTCGTTGTTGTTCAACACCGACCATTTTATTGTACATCGAAAAACAAACAGACTTGCAGATTTAACAAATATGTTGGTAGATTTATAATCCCAAGGTGTAAGAGACGGTCTGAGAGATTTATAGTCTGAGAGACCGGACTGGGAGATCATTAGACTGGAGATCCGCTTATTGTATGAAACAAAGTAACGGATCAGGATAGTTTGATCACTATTCACAGAGGGCTCATTGTTCATTGTGCTCATTGTTCATTACAAAGGGGCTCGTTGTTCATTATTTACACCATTTAATCCTCCCAAATTTATTAAAGCATAAAGATGGCATACCATTAACGGACCCAAACAATCCAAAAGTTTACAAACTCCAATATGGACTTGAGGAATTATATAATCGTTATCACGTGGATTTGGTTTTATCTGGGCATGAACATGCCTTTGAAATGTTCCCACCAATTCAACTGAACAGGGAGATTAATAAAGTTGTCCCCTACAAGTATTGGTGGAATGCTACACGCTTAGTGAACGTAAACAATAATACTACACCTGTTCAACATGATTTTATGTCGTTTCGGGTTTTTATTTTCTTAGATAAAAGATTTCAAATTAAAAATATAGGATCCAGTTGCTCCTGCTTATGTGGTTGTTGGGCGACCAGGCAACACGGAAGAGAAGGAGCAGTTATCTGACATCCCCTATTTAGAGCGGATTAATCAATACACCGATTTTTCCATGACTTTGCTTCATTACCCAGGATCAGTTGCCAAAAAGTCGTTGATTACAGTAAGACAGGTGGATGTACTTCAAGGCAATGTTCCTATGGAATTTGCGTTGGAAAAAACATTTACCTCTTACAATATCAAAGAAATTTATAATTCCATGGAGGGAAATATTCAAAATAAATATCAGCTAGAAAGCAGTTATTTAATCAGTGATAGAAAGCGGCACGAAAAATTCTTGGAGGATACAATAGAATTTTCAATTCATAATTATGCTGATTTAGAAGAAAAAGAACCGGATTTGGTTTATCCACCACTTTCTAAAAATGAGGATAAGGATAAAGAAAAAGATTTTCTTTTAAAAGAGATAAGCATTACTGCTGGTGAAAATAGCAAAATTCGAGCTTTGCTATACTCCTACAATTTGAAAAGAGAACATCCTTTGAATACTCATTTAGATGAAATGTACAAAATTGCAATAAAAGGAGTTTGTGGAAGTAATTATCAACAAATCTTGAAGAATCAAGCAGACTGGAAGAATCAACAAGTTCAAGAAGCTTTAAGGCAATTTACTCAAAAAATTTTAATGGACCATTCGAAAATGTTTAGTAAACCTCCAGAACAAAAAATCATCAATGATAAGAAGAGGAAGAAGTCAGCTACGAAAGAAAATTCACAACCCAATGTTAATGTAAAAATTTTAAATTAATCTTATTTGAATTAACGTAAATCGCAATTATTTTTAGCCATTAAAAACAAATGTTCAAAAAACTACGAATCCTTTTCAAAATCTTTTTGGTAAAAATATATTTGGAACAACCAAAGAAAATGTACAGCCAAATTTTGCAGCTCAAAATGGTCCACAACAAGTGTTCCATTTTCAAGCGGGGGTGGACGGAAATGTCAAAAAAGGTAATGACTTAAAACAATTTAAATCAACTAGGAAGATCCTATATATCCTCGGAAATATTTGAATATCTTGGCTTTTTCCAACTCTATCCTGAGGGATTATAGAATATATACTTTTATTATTAAAATTAGGAATAACGATTGATATCCCGAAAAATCTCAAACTCGCTACTCTCGATACTCTTGATTTGTTAGTTCCAAAATCTAAAGATACTCGATCATATCCTGAAGGATCGAGGATCTTCAGGATGATCCTCGATCCTATCCTTGATCTTCCAACCCTTTACTATGAGAAATAAGTGATTAACTTAACTAAATTAAGTTTAATCATAATTTATTCAGAACAAAATGATAACTATTTCAAAAATGGAACTAAAATATTCGGAACAAACAAAGAAAATATACAGCCAACTTTTGTAGCTCAAAAGGTTCATAATTTAATTATTAAACAAATTAGATTATTAAAATTTAAGGCTGATTCTACAAAGAATGTGAAGAAATCTGCCAGTTTTGCTCAGAATATTTCGACAGATATCCCGCAAACTTTAAATACTTCTTCGGTAAATGCGAGCAGCACAACTGGAGGATTAAAAGGAATATTGAATGTTCCGCTACCAAATTTTCCACAAACGAGTTCTCTCAAACCCGTTCGAGTCGATACCAATACTCATGTCACTGCCGAATATTCCCCTCAAAGTTTAGACAAGCCAAATTCTCCACAAGTTACATATCGTATCAACACTCAAGTTAAAGTTGATTATGAACCTCAAAACGTTACGAAAGGAGAAACACAAAATAAAGCCGAACAATCTAAAAATACAAACGAAAAAACGCAAGAGGTTAAAAAACGGAAACGAAATTTTAAAGCAAAAATTGAATGGAGCGAGGATGAGCTTTATGATCTTACAGATCTTATAGCTTATTTTTATTATAGAGCTTTGGTTAAACCCTCTTGTGATATGTCAAAATTTCCACTTTTTAAAGGATATATTGCTAAAAATGGAGATAAGGTTTTAGAAATGAATCCGAATGTGGTGGAAAAAATTATTTCGAATGATAAAGCAGATTGTGTATTTATTCATTACTACAAAAGCATTTCGAATGAACAGGCGAATTATGGAACTTTGTTGGACAAATTATTTAGCTCAAAGGGGGTTTGTTTTCAATTATTATTTGTTAGAGATAGAGATCTGACCAAGACGGGAAAAATCTCATTGTTTGAGAGACCGGTCATGAAACTGAGATCGATCATTGAAGATCGATCATTGAAATCTCATTGTTTGAGAGACCGATCATGAAACACGACGAACATCCTCTCTCGTCTCTATAATAGATCAATATTTCTTTATATTATCATTCAACGACAATTTTTAGTTAAAATTTTCTGGAGACGAGATTAAGAAGCGTGTCAGTATTTCAGAAGACGGGCAAAAAGTGATATATGACGCAGTGCCTCTTCGAGTCGTTCTTCGAAAACTTAAAGAAGTCTCCGTTGATGGAGATAAATTTTTTGTGAAGAATCAGGATCTAATGTATGTTGAGATCGAATGATTTCAATTTTATGAATTTTCTAAATTTTATGGTAGAGTTATGAAGCAACCGAACCCCCGGATTTTTTAAAATTTATTCAACGATTCTTTAAAAAATTTAACAAAACATACCTCGACTTTATTTTTAAGTCCTCTCGAAAGCATATTTTTTTATTCGTAGTTACCGTATAACCTGTATTAATTGCCCTCCCTCAAATAATTACCCCACTTGCCTTAATTACCCCATACAGCGATAGAAACAATAATTACCCCCCAAACAAATGCCCTAAAACATGTTCAAAACTTGAACATCGTATAATTACCTCCCTCGATTAATTACTCCCTCCAACCTAGGGTAGTTATTAAAGGATATACGGTATACATATTTATTTAAATTATATTTTATTATAAAATACCTTAAATGCTCTAATAGAAGCACAGTCTCTAATAGAAGCACACCCTACATGGGGATCGAAAATAGAAGCACGTGTGCTTCAATTAGAGCATTCAGGGTATTCACAATTTGTATTGAAATTATTATTTTGCAAAATCTGGTTCGATTTATATTCGAAAAATTTTTTTTCTAAAAACAACCTTTAAAACCCTAATTTTATCCTTCTAAAATTCATTTTATTCATATTTAAATGTCTCTAGATAAATTTATTTTAGTCTTTTTCCCCTAATTTTTGTTTTGACCAGCTGGTAATAATTTTTAAATTTATTTTCGCCTTATCAGTTTTATTAATTTTTTCAAATGTCAAATCAATTTAACGTTAAATAATCGTCTTTCGGCCTTCATTAGGGAATGTGTGTGCACCAAAAGTTTAATTCCTATCATTTAATATTTCTAAAATTAACGCAAAATGTATGGCGCCCTCATATATTTTCGTAAATTTAAAAAAGCGAAAAAATTTTTAAGTTATACTGAGAGGAAATGATCGAATTATAATCGGCGACTGTAAATTAAATAATAAATTGATAGGAAATCAATATGCGCATTTAAATTACGCACGATCTACCCCAGTTCAATTACTAAATTTATTTGATGTTAATAATTTAAGTAATTATGCCTGCTCGAGGCCCCAACGCCTAGCGTACTTCGAGCTTAAGCTACCACAGAGCTATGAATTCGTTCAAAATTTTTTGATATAGGGGACGCCCCATATGTTTCAATGCATCTCGACGAGTTAAATCGACGATTTTGTTCGAAGTTATAGCTCCGCGGTACGTTGGGCTCGTGGTAAGTTGGCCTGTTCCTCTGAGGCTCCCTTCTCTCAAGGCACCGTTCCTTTTGAGGCCTGATCCCCTCGAAGCACCCTTCTCTCAAGACACCGTTTCTTCTTGAGGCCTACTCCTCTCGAAGCACCCTTCTTCTCCTCGTAAAAATTCTTTCCGATTTTAGAAAAAAAAACTTTTTTTTATTTTTTTTGATAATTTTCGACTGTTGATTTGAAATATTTTAAAAATAATTAAACTTCCCATAACCTATTTTTACTTGATTAAATTTAAAAAGAAATGCAAGGTATCAGTATGAGCAACACAATGCAAAGAAGACAATTCTCTGTATTAGCCTGTGTTTTTCAATCTATTTTTGTAGCATTATTTGCCATTTTTGGAGAATTTCATAATCATGAGGAGGATAAACACAACCGGGTTCATGCTAATTATCCCATGTTTCAGGACATACATACAATGGTTTTTGGAGAATTTTATGGGGAATCAACCCAAAATAAAAATCATTTTTAAGGTAATAATCGGCTTTGGATTTCTCCTCTCCTTTCTAAAGAAATATGGCCTCTCGGCTTTATCCATAAATTTGTTGCTATGCTCTTTTGTTATGCAATATGCACTTTTGTTGAGAGGATTTCTAAGCCCCGAATTTTTAGAAACTGGACTTTGTACTATCTCTATTGATGAGTAAACTTTTTTTTTAAATTTTAGAAAAATTTTATAATTTAATCCAAGGTTGGTACAAGCAGACCTCTCATGTGTTACAGTTCTTATTACAATGGGTGTTCTTCTAGGCCGACTGACACCCGTTCAATTCCTTGTCCTAGCCTTTCTAGAAACCTCAATAACAGTCCTACTCGAGCATTTGCTTTACAATGTTCTTTTTGTGAGAATTTTTTACTAAAATTTTTAACTTGTTTCATTATCTCAAAAGATTAACGATGCTGGTCGATCATTAGTTGTTCATTGTTTTGGTGCCTACTTTGGCCTAGCTGCAGCCAAAGTTTGTCATAGACAAAATACAATGGTAGTAGATGATGATGAGTCGAGTGGGCATTCTTCTGAATTATTTGCCATGCTTGGTAAACATTCAAGAAAAATAAGAATTAAATGCGTAAAATTAATAGGAACTCTGTTTATTTGGTCATTCTTCCCCTCCTTCAATGCCGGCTCAATTCCTCATTCTACACCGGAAATGAGACATCGTGCTTTCTTAAATTCCTATTTGGCAATGGTTTATCTTTAACAACCATCTAAAATTTAAACACAAATTTTTGTAAGCAAAGGCTGCTTGTACCACAGCTACTTTTATGCTTAGCTCCTTAGCTGATCACTTGGGTCGTTTCAATATGGCCCATATTCAAAGCTCTTCTTTAGCTGGTGGAATAGCTATAGGGGCTTTTGCTAATGTTATTCTTTATCCTCATCATGCAATTGTTGTTGGGGCAGCTGCCGCACTTGTTTCGGTAGTTGGGCATGTCTTTGTTACGGTGAGAGAGCCAATAAAGACAAATAATTAATAAATTTCCAGCCCAAAATCCTAGAAAAGCGGCTGAGCATACAAGATACTTGTGGCGCTCATTCACTACATGGACTTCCTTCTCTACTTGCTGGGGTTTTTATTCATCCAGACGAAACTTTATCCCTTAAAATTTTCTTAAGTTCCTCAGCGCCCTTTTTGTCCTCCTCTACGAACCATCAGAATATGGCCCAAACTTTGTGGAGCAATATAGTGCAATCTATCCACAATGGAAAGGCTCTGGCCAGCCTGGCGCGCATAGAGATCTTCGAACTCAATGTTTAGTTTAATTGGATTATTTACTTAAATTCACATAACTTTAAGCTTTCTTTCAACTTGCTGGCCTTGGACTAACATTTCTAACGGCTATTTTTGGAGGGCTCTTTTGTGGATGGGTAATGAATTGGTCTTTGCTGAATCAAGTACAGCCTAAGCCGAGTTATGAGGATGCTAGCTATTATTTGAATGCAGAATTCTCACTTTTTGGAAACGTAACATATTTTTAATTACAAATCTACCGGACATTATTATGTATGATCGAGATCTCTAAAAAATTTCGATTAACAGAATTTTTTAAAAGCCCGATTTCTCTCCTTATGAATTTTTTTTGGATTCTTCCGTTGATCAGGAATTATCAATCTTATTCATTTCATGTATTTTTAGATTGATAATTCTGGTCATGGCCTCGGTAGTTCAAATGCTTCAAGTTGCCGTATAGACTACCGACCTTTGGATATTGAAGCTGCTTTGAGAGCTGTTAAAAGAGCTGGAATTGGGCCAGATGCCATATTTTAATGCCAAGTTTATTACTATATTATAATTGTTTCAGATTCATTAGATTTATCATTTATGTAAATAAAAAAGATAATAAATTAATTGACGTAAATATTCAAATTGGATCATGTTTATATCAACAATCTGGGAAAACTTTCAAGTAAACACTCATTCTCTCCAGCAGAAAGAGGCTCTTATTCCTTCCCTCTTTCCACGTGAAGGGATCTATTCAAATCAACACCCATGACTTCAATTAGTATATTTACTATACATATAACATCTAAAATTATTTTTGTATTGTCTCAATAAATTTAGTGGAATTCTTCTTCGAAGAAATCCTTTCCAACCTTCTAACGCTCATCCTCGTTTTATTTTCAACAAAACTCACTCTCTAAAAATAAAAAATTTCGTTTAAATTTTACTAAAAAGCCTTACTTTTTCAACTTTTTCTGCAAAACTTTTTGCATATTTTCTGCTTTCCCAATTCCTAATTATCCACCTTATAAACGATTTTACACTGATTAAGAAGATTATAGACAAAAGTATAGCTGCAGTTCCTATACCAACCATTGGATCATAATTGCGATAAAAATCCTCAAAGGACTTTTCTGGATTATAACTTAAAATGAATATTATTATATTAAGTTTTGGTTGCGATTAAATCTGATCAAGACTTTAAATTTCTCTTAAATCAGGACATAGACAAAGAGTACTGTACAGCTCTAGGTAGGTCGATCAGGGTAGGCCGTTTCTTCAAAGTCAAAGTTTCATATTATTCCCCTGGATTCCTATATGACTATTAGATTTGCACATCCTACGGACCCTTAAAAGAAACTATATAAGTATTTTTCGATCAGTTGAAATTAGGAGATAAACTAGCCACAAGATACACCTACGACTTTGTCTATATCCTAATTTAGTTACATATATGGCCTATATTTTCCATCTGTCACTATAACTATTAAACCAATCCACCCCAAATATTCAACTCAAATATTACCTCTGGAAGTCACGTTTATCCGGTGCTTTACAATAGGGATGGCAAGCACGTTTTTCATAATACATTATTAAAAAACTAAAATTTAAAAAACTAAAATTGTCTTAATATAATTTATTTTAAATTGACTATTTTGAAGTAAATTTTAAGCAAAATGGCCTATGTTTTTTAAACAAAAAATATTTAAGTAGGAACACTAAAATATTTGTACTAAAAGTATTGGATTTCACATAAATATGCAACCTCTTTATCCTCTTCTTCCTTTTTTAAAATAACTAAAATTTAGTTTTTGAAAAATGGCAACATTTTACGTCATTAAAAATAAATAAAAGGAAACATTAAAACCCCCCCCCTCCCACGGATAATCTAAAGCCAGGGCTCTGGTCTAGTTTAGATGGTCGATGAAAGTCTAGCCCAGGGTTCAAGTCTAGTTCAGTAGTCCAATAAAGGTCTAGTAAGCAGTACATTCAAAATTTATATGAATGAAATAAAGGTTTATGAAGCTCTCATAAATCTTCACTGATAACTAGTCATGGATTTCATAAAATTTTATCCGTATTCTTAAACTTTCATAGGACTAATAAACCTTCATTGGACTAATAGAGATTCATTGGACTATTAAACTGGAACAGAGCCAAATTACGTACAGGAACTCTCGTTATAATTTCTTATAAACTAGCCCCCATAAATTGAAAACACCTAACTTCAACAAGCTCGTTGTTATGGAATTATTCTGATTTTTTTATGAAATCTGTTTTTATTTATATTTATATTTATCGTTCCAAAAATTTTATCGTGTGTGAGAGAATTTTGGAGTAAATGGCTTTAACTGCTTAAGATTTTGAGTTTATTCTTGAGTAAGTGAAAGAGACAACTAAAAGCAGTTGGAAAGAATAGTTCGATGAAATTGGTGGGGAAATTGAAAAAAAAAATGAAAAAAAATAAGAAAAATGAAGAAAATGGACTATAATATTATATATTTTTTATGTAGTAATTCTCGTCGCTATGTCACGAAACCCTTGGGAAAGACAGTTGGCGGCTGGCAAATAGTATAGACATATTTATTTCTTCCGGAAATATATTGAAGGGAAACGATGAAATATTTAAAAAGTAATTAAACCTCCTTGGATTTTTTAAATTATTTAATATTTCAAGGGCAGGAGTTATTTTTAGCAGTAATTTATTCGCAAAATTATATTTTTTAGTTAATATCTGCAATAATAATATCCATTAAACTTGTTTGTTAGGAAGGCTTAAGCAATAAGGAATGATGAGATCCCTCGAGAAAACAATACTTTTAAAACCCAATATGTATTTGAAGAGGGCTATAGATGGACTTAAGAATGAGAGTAACCTTAAGAATGTTTTTTATTAAATTTGAATTTTATTAAAATTGAAAAAAAACAGCAAGGAAAGACTTAAGATAAGGTTGAGATCAGTGCTGGGTATTGGTTATTCTTGGATCCGGCTCCGGAGTTTTTTAATTCTTGGTTCCGGCTCATGAGCTGACTCAATCTCCCAGAGCTATACCCAGCACTGGTTGAGATCAGTTAAAAATAAAGGGAAACATAGGCAAGTAACAACACAAAATAAATCAGGTACCATAACATTTTGAACATAAAAAATTAGTAAGAGCTACAAGTACCTGATTTTTATCAAGAGATACATAGATATAAAAATATCAGCTTTTCTTTTTTAATCTATTAATCTCTAATGCAGCTACTTCTCTAGCACTTTTATTTCCAGTACTAGTTTCCTTCCCTTCAACATGAGTATCCAACAGACTAAAACTTATTTTTCTATTGTGATTTGAACTTGTAGTTGTTGGTGAATGTTCTTGATAATTATCTGAAAAATTTCAGTTCAGATAGAAATCGTTAAGATGTCTACCATGTGGATATACTGAAGGTGTTGCACTTCTTGTCAAACTTAGTCTGTCGCTGCTTGGAAGCAGATCACTTGCGGTGCTGTTTTTAGCTGATGATTTAGTAACTGAGCTGGATGGCAACATAGCAGAGCGCAGTTTTTTTAATGGGCTCTAAAGGAAATTTAAGGAAAATTAAAGGATTCTGAAGGACTTAAGAAGATTCTCCACTAATTAAGTAAAATATCTCCTTTACCTTAACAACACCAATCGCCTTCGTTAGTTTACTAGACGAAGAGTGATCGTGTGAAAGGCTCTCTGAGCTACACAAACTGTCGTCCAAATCATCAGAAGCAATATTTGAATGTCTCAATGGCCTATCAGGTTGAGAACAACTTCCTATGGATACTTGCTTTGTAAGATTTGAACGGTTTAATTTAGAGAGCGCCTCGTCTTGTCTCGAGCTTGGTCTATAATATAATAATTAAATTAGTCACAAATTTCCTATCAATGTTTTTATCAACTTTAAAAATTATTTTATAATCGCACCTACTCGACGGTGTGACAATCACTTGTGTATTAGATACAGGAATTGTTTCATAGACTCGTGATTGAGACAAAACTGCAACTGTTTGTTGTTGGGCTCCGTCGACAGAGGATTCTTGTTCTATCCTTCTAGAACTAATTGAAGATTATTTTTTAGATATCAATTCTAATGCCTCTGAGACAAGGGAGAAATGCAACGATTGATAATTCTTCCTCTTTCCACTGTTGTTCCACTAGAAGTTGTAGTAGTGCCTGGAGCAGTACTACGAGGATTTGGACGATAGACTACAGCACCACGAGTATTTCTAACAGCAGCGGGTACTTGACGATAGGAAAGGAAACGTGAAAGACGGGCGTGGGCATTCCTTTGAATAACTCTTCGCCCAGCACTACCGCCAGAAGAACCATTGTGATTTGGAGCAAGGGAAGTAGATGAGGCACTACAGCCGATACGTCTTCGAATTGATTGGGTACTTGAAATATGTTTAAAATTTGTAGAGTTTTTCTATATACCGAGCAAAATTTATAAGCACCGAATCTTCATCAATTAAATTTTCTGGGTGTTGTGAAAGATATCTTTTCCATAAAGCATCTGTTATTTCTGTACAATACATTACTCCAGCATGGAGTGCTATCATTCTAAGCACCAAGACTCCATCTACCTTGACAAAAAATATCTTAGAAAATCTATAGAAATTTATAATAATTTTTCAAAAATGATTCGCTATCCAAAAAAAGGACCATTCATTTGAGATATGAGAGATTACGGTAGCTACATGTTCAGGGGCATTTTTAAAGGTAATACCAGAGGTGGATAGGAATTTAAATTTCCTAAAATTTGTTAAAAGTTCAACTTTAAATTTTTAGCATTTGTATTAGTTCCGAAAATTATGGGTAGTACGACTATCCTTCGCAACTTATTTGTTAGTTATTTTAGTGACCCCATTAAATTCTTTAAATCGTTTACAGAAACCTTCAAATAGGCCTTCAAAAAGTGTTCGACTTGCTTCCTTTTCTCCTTTCTAAAAAGCTCGGGACGATCTGGATCGGAAGTAAGCTAAACAGAATTCATTCATTAAACAATTTTTCTCAAAAATCACCTCCAAATGTCTCAAAACAAACCGAAACCTATCTCTATGAAACAAAGAAACACTAAACCAATATAGGCCATCAAATAGAGTTATAAAAAATAGAATACAGAACCAAAGCCATAATAAAATGAATATTTTTTCGTTAAAAATGTTGATAACTAATACACACTAAAAATAGTTCAAATTTTTTTTATTTTAATTATTAAATTGTTGCCTGGACAGAGTGTCTCTGAATATTTCCTAGAACTCTAACTTCAAAATCACACTAGAAATAATTTTTTTTAATTATAAAATACAGACTTTATTAATAAATTTTTACCAGTGTAACACGAGGGAAGTTGCCTAAAAAATTTTTTTAAATTAAGACAATGAATCAACGGATCAGTTGTTATTAGATATTCCCTAGATTAGATACTACTCGATTTAGGATACATGATAAAAATCAAGTTACCATAGGTGGAAGTACTTCATAATCCATACCACCATATTAAATTCCTCTCAATATATTTTTTTGAGATTCCAGAGTATATTTAAGAGTATATCCAAGGGTATTTAAACTTAGATATCAGATTAGACTAAGATTATTTTATATCCCCATCAGTATAATTTTTAAAATAAATTTCCAAAATTAAATGCCTGATTGTGTCCATGACTTGCCAAGCAGTAATAAATCATAAAGGACACCAAGACCATAAATACTGTAATTATTAGTTTCTAGGAATTTATTTACAAGTAATAAATTTGTGAGAACATTTCCAACATAAAATACTTTTGTGGCCTTCAAATTAATTTTAAAAATTAAAAAAATTGTGGCAAAAATATTAAATTACTAAATACATTCCAGTCACGTAGCTTTCATAATAACGCAGATTAAAGCATTTAAATACCCGATGTAGTGTGTATTGAGTGCGGGATGTGGCTGTATGTTGGTACCTTTAAAAATTAATTTCTCGAGAAAGTTTTGAGCCAAAAATGGCAGCGTTCTTAGTAAGAGATAGGACTTGAGGATATCAGGAATTCAAAAAAGTGATATCACACGATCATCAATATTAGGATTCTCGTGGTTATGGAAGACATCATGCTCCAACCTATATCTATTCTAAGATACCATATCTTTCAAAATATAACTCATTTTAAATTAGTTAAGCTACTCAGTTGATCACTGGGAAGAGCTCTCGGGGATAAACGTGAGTCTGGGAGGGGCCTAGTTTTTGATGACTGGAGGGAAAGGGTCTTTGTTATCATCTTTGTTATCATACCCTCATTAACACAGGGTCATTCAACTTCAAAATATTCTTTTTTCTTTAATATTAAAAATTATTTTCATATCTAATCCCAATTTCAAAAAATTCATCAACCCTTTAAAACTCTTCTCAAACCTTAGAGCTGCTTCAATATGCCTAGCAAGTGATTCAATTGTTCTCATTCCTTAAATCCAAAAATTGAAATATTAATTATATTAATTATAAACTATATTCTGGTTCAATATTCTCCTTTTCCGTTGCCATTTGTACAATATCATTTAAACGGATACCTTCAAGAGTTCAAATTTTCAAAAAAATATTTTCAAAAATTCTGTAAGAAATACCAACCAGATTTATCACTCATTAACCTCCAAATTAAACATGGGCCATAAAACAAAAAGGCTTGGATGAGCAAAAAGAAAGGCACCCATTGGTAATAAGAGATTTTGCGGTAATCTCTTTCTGCAATCTCTTCGGGAATGTCTTCGTCTACGGGGACGAAGTAAGTATTTTCTGACCTTAATTAAGAAAAATTTTTCTTATTGAATTAGGGTTTTTCTGCTAATTTATTTTGATAGAAAATATACTTGCCAGCAGAACATTTCGGTGTAGGCCTCCCATGAAGAGGTAAATTGAGCAGGTACCCAACATTCAAGGGGACGACCTCCAAACTAATTTTTAATTGATTTTAAATTAATCACCCTTTAAAATCACCTGTTTAAAACTAACTAAAACAGCCATCATAATTAAAAATGAGGAGGTGTAAAAATAGGAAAGACGATCAACAAGGTCGTCGTCCTTAAAAATATTATTATTTATTCAAAATTCAAAAGTGCTCCTCACTTTTTGATAGCGTAGAAATGAGAGAGCACCAAACATATTTTGAAGAATCATGGCGCCTAGCTCAAAGATAGCCGCTTGTTGATAATGGGATGTTTCGCGTCCGTGTGCTCCGCCTAAGAAAATTTTTTTTAATTTTTCATTATTGTAGGTTGATTGAGAGATTATTATACTCAGAACCTCCTTATGAATACTTTACTGAGTATTTCATAATGTGAGACGGGTAGGTTTAATTGCATTAATTTCGGGTATATAATACCACCAGCCTCTCAAAATTTCGAATTTGCACACACGTGTACCTCATGCAGCTCTTATTTTGGCCTAATACTCCTATTAACTTTCGAGACAACTACGAAAACAATATGGCCTTTAAATAACTGATACCAAGTTCATTATATTTTAAAAAATATCCAACATTAAAATATAAATTTAAAATTATTTGAATACCCAAACAAATAACAAATCTGCAGCACCTTTATTTCGCTTTTTATTATGTAGATGATGCTTTGATTGCCTCAATGCCGAGGCCGAAGGCCACAATGGCATATATAAATAAAACACACAAGTTGAAGATTTTGGGGAGGATATTCAAAAATTTTATAGTTAAATATTTGGTGAAAATTGGGAAAAATAGAAGAAGGAGAGGATTTATAAAATAGGTGAGAAAGACTTGAAAATTATTAAGTTTGAAAATTCTAGTTAAGGAAATTTTTTACAAAACTTCAAAATATCTTGTTATCTCACTAGTAGAGACTCGGTATTATCGAAATTTCACTGGCGATACATTTCTTTAGATCCCTTCAAATGTTCTTGCGGCTCCAAAAAGATTTTGGCAGTTCCGGGGGTCAGGCAAGAGAACGTGGGGTTCCGGGAAGTTCCCGGAATTGTTTCTCGAACCTGGGTCGCTACCTTGCTTCGATACTAACAAACCCTCACTACTAGCATCATTCGTTGATAGCGATATATCTTCAGTTCCCTTATATTGTTCTCAGTGTTCCGAAAATTATCGCGGGTTCCTCGGTCCCAATCCCGAGAACCCTATTTCCTAGAATCATTTCCTGAAATCGGGTCGCTACTTAACTTTGCTACTAACAATAAAATTGACTTTATTTTTCTAATAAAAAGCATATTTATAAAAAAAAATTTTTGAGTTAAAGCATGAAAATAATGAGAGAAGCTAATTTCAAAGCAAATAAAAGTATTAATGAAAGAATTCAAAGAAAAATGGGGAAGTTACTTTATTAATAGTGACAGTCCTCAAAGTCTGTCAATAATAAAAAGCTCTAATTAAATTTAAATGTACTCTTTTATTGCGTGAAAAAAGCGGAAATACAAAATTTTATTAAAATTTAAATCGATTTAAACGGAAAAAGAAATTTATTTTTGAAAAATACTATTAAAAATATACACGTGAACACATCTTTTTAGTACAAGATTAATTTTCTAGCCAATTTGACACACCGGATTTGGAGAAAAATGAAAGGGAAACTGAAAGGGGAATTAGTAAAAGTGAGAGAAAAGTATCAAGAAAGGAAGCCAGTAAATAGAGGAAGATGCATAAAAGTAAAGCCGGATTAATTGTGTGTGAGAGAAAAAAGGCTTGTTATGAAAAAACTTTATTATTATTTAAAAAATATTTTTTTATAAGCAATCCCGTGGGTTTATAAATAATTTACTATTATTTTTCCTATGGGAAAATCAATTAAAATATGCCAGCTTTCAATAATATTTTTTCTAGAATTTTTAAAAATCATGCTAATATTTTTATGTTTATTTATAACTCACACAAAAAAAGTTTTTATTTTTAATGCCTATTAATAATAAGCAAAGCATCTAATTAAATAGGCCCGAATCCCATTGTCCCCCGACCCGAAACATGACCATATTTTACTCCTCCGAATAATCTGAGACCCCCGTACAACAACACAATCGTTCCGATCGTTCGGGTTACAACATTAGCGAGGAGTGACTCTCGAAAGTAGAAAAAATAAATCCCATTAGAGCCCGGACTGGGAGTGTCGTACAATTGATCTCAAAAAAATATCAAACTTGATAACCGAGATTTGATCTCGTCTCGGTCCGTGCTCTATACATTACATTAATTCTAATTTAGCTACTTTAAAGGACCTGCTATAAAGGAGTTATTTAATCTTGCTACATCCCTTGGTACAATTATCCTTCGTAGTTGCTTTAATACTAGAAAACCTATCAATTATGCTTTATTTATTTCCCAAAATTTAATTAATTGTTCGTGTTTAAATAAAAAATTAAGATTTCCTAAAATAGAATGAAAAGCTGTAAGTAATTGATAGCAACATAAATTGAAATTTGAGGGGTAAAGAGCAGAAATTTTTTTCTAAAATTAGAAAAACGAATAAATTTGTGTTAAATTGAGATTACAATTTTATTTCATTTTAAATCCTTTTGTTAAAGAAATTCCGAAAAAATTTATTACAGCAAAGGAATGAAAGATTGGACGGGAATAAATGGGATTTGAATGAAATATTTTGGAAATAACTGTTTAGTGTTGAAAATAAAATATCATTTTTTGATTTATGCTTAATAAATTACCTAAATTCTTTAGATTCCAAAGAAGCTTTATTTTTAAGTGCAAAAAAAGCAAAATAAGTATTGACTATAAACCGGACCGAGACGAAATCTCAAACAAAAATCTCGAGATATCTCATTTCTCTAGATATCTCGTACGACTCTCGTACAACCTTCCCAGTCCGGTTTCTAGTATTGACACACCTACCATATCAAAATGTTAATAAGTTTAAGTAATGACTGAAAATGAGAGGCTGAGAGGATTAATATCATTCCCCTTATAATAATCAACCTTACGTAGAATGAGAGATTCTACCGTACCCCTCACTAGCACACCTCAATGGCACCCTCAATAATCCTCAGAATCTAACGTTTTCCCTTCTACCAAATTAAAGTTTTCATATTTCCTTACGATGAGTTCCAAACTGTAACGAATTATGAAAATGTCCAGTAGTTGAGGCTTGTAAAGCTGCAGAACTTCCAAAAAAGGGCTTTCTCATTATTAATTAAATTAAATGGGAAAAATAAAGGCAATAATAATAGCAATTTTTTGATAATATAAACATTAATAATTATTTTATTCATAATTTTCATTACTTAAGCATTTTACTAAAAATCGAGATTTTTTAGAATTTTCAAAAAAATTTTCAAAAAAAACAATAAATCAACCAGAATTATTTATTGAATTTTTCAGTCAAAAAGGCTGACAGGAAATAGATAAAGCAAGAAAAAGGGCAATCTATTACACTTTACTAGGCAAAAATGCCGTGGGTATACCATCCAATTAACTGGGAAATATTCGCGCAGCTTAGAAAAAATGCCGCCTTTTGATGCGTGCCGATATTTTTCTTTCATTTTCTATTGATTTCTACAAGGCTTTAAATGGCAAAAAATAAATAAAAAAATGAAATTTTGGAATATTAAATTAATAAAAAAAATATTTTTTAATTAAAATAGCAACACTATTCTTGAAAGAATTTGGCTAAAAATAGCTCTAGAAATGTTGGAATAATTAATTAAAAATTAAAAAATTGCTAACAAATTAGGTAATCTATTGTCCTAAATATTAAACGAATTTGTGTGTTTTTGTTAAAATTCTTAGAAAAAATATTTTTGCGCAACAATTTAGCAAGAAATAAATTTACAAGGTATTCGTGACCATTATTTTTAAATTTTTGTGAAAATAAAGGTTACTCAATTGTAAAGTTTAAAAGAAACATTGCTAAGGAAACATAAAATAATTACGAAAAATACTATTAATTTTAAGTTAATAGGTAAAAAAGTCGGCTTTCAGTAAGGGAGGGAAAGGTATAATTAAATTTATCTAAATTTAAATTTAGCTATAATCGCTTAATTAAAGATTCTCTTATTTGAGGCATCAGAGTCATAGTATAATATTAACCTAATACTTAATTAAAGCTTCGATTTTTTTCCTGGCCCATTTCTAGCTAATGATATTCCCAAAAAGAGATACTCGGTAATTTAAAATCACCCTGTTCACTCGGTAGAATTGAAGTGGAAGAATTGAAACGGGCCAAGTTCTAGATCAGATTCTCAGTCGTTTTAAACTAGTACGAGCTAATAAATCTTATAAATTAGTCCAGAAGGCTTGGACACTAATAGGATTCCCAAAAAAAAGATACTAAATAAATTAAAAAAGCTCGATACTTGGTAACCTTGAATTAGAAAGGATCAAAACGGGCCAAGTTCTAGATTAGACTCCTGGCCTGTACAAAATAGTTAGAGATATTAACACTTATAAAATGGTTCAAAAAACTTTGACTTATCTCAAATTATGCCCAGAAAAATAAAAATGACGATTCTCAATAAGAATCATACCTTTACTCCTATAATAACACCAACCTTTTCCGTGTGCCTGTTGGCCAAAGCGAAATGCCATTAATTCATTGGCAGTGCCAACGAAGTAAAGAAGGAGGAACATTTAAAGGGAGAAGGTGACAGCAACGATTTAAAGCCAAAAATAGAAGAGACAATGACAATTAATGCCAGAAATGAATGAGGTACGATGCTGCTCATTTTAAGGTTGAATAAATGAGACGAGAGGCTTGTCAAGTAGAAAAAATGCTGCAAATTAAAGCAGTGAAGTATTAAAAAGGAGATGGAAAATTAATTTAATGTAGTCGGAAATAGAATTATTTTTTTAAAGCTTGAGAGCGGAAGTTTCAGTTAGAATTTAATTTTTATTATTAAATTAATGAATTAATTTTTAATTATTTTTCAGAAATATCTTGTTGTTTAATTGTCAATTAAAAATTAATTTTTTTTATTGTTCACTGTTGTATTTATTTTTCTACAACACTTAATTTATATTAAACGTCACCTTTAGTTTTTAAATTTTAAATATTATTTGAATAAATTTGAAAAATGTGGAATAATAAATTAAATTTATAGACAATATTTTGATTTATTTTACCAAATAAAAGGAAGAAAAAGTTAAGTAAAAGTTGCGGAGGGATTTTTGCTTCCTTATAAAATCCCTAGACAATAACACTGCTTCCTAGCGAATAGAACAAAGAAAACGGCCGTCAAAACGTTCACACATAAATATTCTTAAAAAATTTATTTTTTATTGTTTTAAGACTGTGCTGAATATTATATTCAAGACAAAAAATTTTGGGAAAAAATACATTCCAGAAATCATAAATGAATTAAGCAGAATCCCTTATATAATACACAATAGGGATGTCTCATTAGGGGATGTCTCATATCCGAAATCCGAACCGAGACCCGAAACCTGGACTTTTTTCGACCCGAAACCCGATCCGAAGAGGATTTTGAAACCCCGATCCGAGTCCAACCCGACTTTTTTCTCAACCCCGTTCCATTCCAGATACACAACCCTTGATATATTTGAATCAGAATATCCATAAGAATCCGACGTTTTATTATCTAATCTATCTAAGCTCACTGGTTTTAAGCAAGGGAACTTGTTCCTTAGATATACATCATGAAATAAAATGTCAGTTGTAATAAAATAAAATTAAAAAATTTAATTGGATGAGACATAAAGGATATGAATATTGACAGCTATACCTTTTTCATTTGTAAAAAAGTATTATAAAAAATTATGTCTACAAAATGAAAATAAGCTTAATACAAATAGGATTAGTTAGGATAATATTGAATCACAATTATTCTCCAAAATTCCAGTTTTAAAAATTAATCGGGTTCAAGCAGTACTTGGTGGTGTACCTGATTTTTAATAATGTCTGTTAAAGCGGTGTCAATAGGCATTCTTAAAAGAGTCTAATTTAAGCCGAGATTTAAAAATACTATACATACAACTCCCAAATTTTTGATAAATATATTAGCCCCCCACTCCACCCCCCCCCCCAATACACTAAAAAATAAAAGTAAAAAAAATTATGTAGTAAAATAATATAAAAAAAATTTATATGGATTTATTCATAATCTCATGGAAAAATAAAGCAATGTCTGAATTGGCCCAGAATTAAAAAGAACAAGTACCCAGCCATCAAATGAAGGAATAAAGAAAAAATAATGTGCCATATCGCTGTTGCTGTAAAAAATGCCGCGCGAGAAAAAGGAAAATTTTTTGTCGTCGAAAGCGTTTGTGAGAAAAAGCTGCGGGGAAGGAGTAAATAAAAAAGTAAGAAAAAAGGGAAGTGGGCACGCAATTGTATCTGGCAATAAATGTGGTAATCCAACAAAGGAAGAGCCGTTTTTTATTTTAAATATAATGTCTAAACCCAGGGTGAATAATAAAAGTAAAAATTTATATACAAAATTATTTTAACGTATTAACCTTGACATTGACTTGAAGCTAGGATCTTGACCAGATCCTTCTTGACCTTGGGCAAGGAAAAATAGAGGTCTAGGAATAATCAAGAACGATGAAAAATGCCTTGATCTGACCCAATCTATATTATGTCCCTATATAACGTTTTTGAGACACATTAGAGTGAGACTGAAAAAGACAAGAGACCGGACTTTCTCCTCCAGACCGGACTGGAGGAGAGACGGATCGAATCGAAATAGTTATCGAGAATAAGAGCTCGATCAGGACCGGTATCAATTCCGTTCTCTAGTTAATGTTATCCCTAATCCCATTATTTTTAAACATAGATTCTTAAAAGAAAAGTACATTTTCTTCAGCGTTTTATCTCGATCTGCTATTTATTGCAGAATCCGCTTTTATTAATCAAAAAATTATTTTAAAAGTCTAGACTCCTAGCGGCTTTAAAAAGAGAAATCTATAGAATCCAACATGATTAATCAATTACAAATTCCCCCCCCCCCCCCCCCCCCACCATCAAATCCATAAAAAGAGTCGGCATATCAATTTCCCCTTTGATATGTCTTTTTGAAGAAGTCTCGCCGATTCATTTAAAAAATTTTTAATTTCATAATTTATTAATAAAAACAATTTATTAAAAAATTTTTATTGAAATTAAATATGAAATTCAAATTATTTATTTTAATTCTATTTTTCTTGATTGAGATTGCAGGTGATTTATATCTCTAAATATTCTTAAATTAGGTAATTATTAAAATATTTTTAGATGGCATGGACAAGAATTCCAAACATGTTTGTAGTCGTCCGAGTAAATAAACTTTTATTTTAATTTAAAGATAATTATTTTAGAAAATAAGCAAAAAGCTTCACATAGTTCCCCGCCTCAAGAAGGGCCTTCGGTTAGCAAAAATATGCCTAAACACTCTTTAAAGCCTTCAAACCCTCCAATGCCTTCAACTAAACCTTCTGATTCAGCAAGTCAACTGGTTTCTTTGAAAGATTTAAACGATAGTTTCAAGGATTCATTCGTTAAAGAGGAGGCCTCAAACACTGAGGAACCTTCGGATAAAGAGAAACCTCATTATTACATCAGTTTCTAGTCTTTTAAAAAAGATCATAATTTAATTCAATTTCCTATTATTTTATTCTTTTAATTTAAAATTTTTCTTCGGATTTTAATCAAAATTTGATTTATTTTAAATCCAACTTCTTTATTCTATAAATTTTAAAAATCTTTCATAAAACCGATTTCTAATTGTTAAAAATAAATTATTTTATTATTAGTTTAAATTATTCTTAATTTTGTGCCGATTTTGTCATAATCAGTTGAGATTGGTCAGGAACGATAGTCTGGACGAAAGGATAGATCTGATCAAGCCGAGAGATTCATCAAGATCAAGATATCGACCTTATCGGTTCTCAAAACTAGGTTGTCGTTTCCACCAGATTCATTGGTTATCCGAATCGACAACCCGAATAGAAAATATTCGGTTTTTCGCTGAAGTTCGGTTTGAAACCTACTCAAAACCGTTCTCTAGTTTTTTAACTACAATTTTAAAAGTTTTTTGTAGTTTTTATCTTTTCCTTCTATTTAATGTCAACCCACATCTCTCAACAGACTAAATCCAATTTAAATTATGTAGAATCCTCTCCTATCAATCAAAAATTTTTTAAGAATCTTGAAAATCTAAATTCGATAGGCTTTGAATCTAGACCTCAAAAGGCTTTAAAATATAAATCCATAAATGCCAACATGATTAATCAAATAATGCACTTTCACTCTTATCCTCTCCCCTACCTCCCCTCCTCTCCCCTACCTCCCCTCCCCTCCCTTCTCCCTTCTCCCCACTCCCCTCTCTCCCCTCCCCCTTCCCCCCTACCTCCCATCCCTTAACTCCCCTCCCCTCCCCTGCCCTCTCCTCTCCCCTACCTCCCCTCCCCTCCCCTCTCCCCACTCCCCACTCCCCTCTCCTCTCTCCTCTCCCCTCTCTCCTCTCTCCTCTCTCCTCTCCCCTCTCCTCTCCTCTCTCCCCTCCCTTCTCTCCCCTCTCCCCTCCCCCCTACCTCCCCTCCCCTCTCCCCCAAATGATTATTGCGCATGTTAATTACCTCTCCTCTAAATATGCCCTTTTTGACAGGCTATACAACAGTCGTTTAAAAATTAAAAAATTTCATAATTCATTAATATAAACAATTTATTAAAAATTTATAAAATTATGAAATATAAATTATTTATTTTGTTTGTATTTTCACTGATTGAGATTGGAGGTAAAGAGTCTTTACTAAAGACTGGATTAAAAATATTTTTTAAATTACCTATAATATTTTTAGATTGCATGGATGACCATAATTCCCAACGCGGTCTCCGTCGTCGCCGCAGTTAGAAAATTTTTTTACTAAATTTAAAAATAAAGATTTTAGAGTATAAACACGATGATTCACCTGTTTTACCGCCTCAAGTTGGCACACCGTCAAAGGCACAAGTTGGCACATCCAAACATGTGCCTAAACGTAAACCAGCTTCTCCAAAGCCTCCAAACCCTCAGATGCCTTCATCACCTCTACCGAAACCTGAAGAAACTCCGGTTTCTTTGAACGAGATATGCGATGCTTTTGGTGTTCCGTTTGAGGCGGAGAATGCTTTGCGCCAACAAAATTTTAATGCACTTGAAGGACCTTCTCAGGCAAAAATTTCTATAATTTTAAAATTTTTATTTTGATTTTATCAGGCAATTTTTATGATTATTAACGAATCTATAATAATTTAAAATAAATAAACATATTTTAGCACAAATCGAATATTCAACATCCTTCGGATAAGGATGCGGAAGATGATTATCCCGATGTTTAGAATTGTAGAATGGATATTTTTATTCTATATTCGTGGATTTTATTTTTAAATCTTTTTTACTTTCAAGTTTTTTCTTCGGATTTAAAGCAAACATGTGATTAACCTCTATTCTAGGGTTGTTTACTATCGGTTATTAACCGGTTCCCCCGGTTTTCAGTTCCGGTTTATTCGCCGAAAACACCGGTTTTCAGTTCCAGTTCGGTCGACCGTTTGTGTCCAACCCTATTTTATTTTTAATTTTTAAAAATTTTCCATTAAGCCTTACATTAGAATTGTAAATTATTACATTTAAATTAAATTATTTCACTTTTAGTTTAAAATATTTTCTCATGTCATAAAACTTTTTTTAAATTTTTTATTTAATTTAAACAATGCAAAACAACTGATGCTTTATTGTCTTTGCAATTTTACAAGATTTTAATTTAGTTTTACTTTAAATTTACATCACAAACTTCCCTCGATAATAAAATATATTTACTCAACATAAAATTAAACTTTCTTCTTGTTTTGTGATTGTTAACCAAGTATATTTGTCAAAGAATAATAAAATTAATATCCCTCACAAATTACTCCCTTTTTCTTGTCTCTTTGTATGAATAATAGAGGGTACGATATCCAGGGTGGTCTTAAATTCCGCGTGCGGCAACATGGAATTTAGCTTTATCGGGTTCATAGCCTTTTACTGATCTTATTGCTTTAATCAAAAATTAAGCTTACTATCCGGTGGGGTCTTAAATCCCGTTGGTACCTAAGTTGGTTAAGTAGCTTTACCAGGGTGCTTCTTTATGTATCAAAAGTTTACTTATGCTATTTGTGCTTGTTTAATATTTTCCTTTTTATTCCTCTCTTGGATTATATCCATGCTAAGCTCCAAAACATAACTTTCATAATAAAATCTGGTCCATATTTTTTATTTTTCACATTTTTCACGTCATTTCCATCTTTCTTTAATTGCCAGTCTTCCATCTTTTTTTATTTATTTCTTAATGGAAGGAAAGATGGTTTTAGTAAACTAATGGCCATTATAGCTTTGGACATTGGGCAATAAAAAAAAGCAAAAACTGGAGGGACATAAGGTTTAAAAAAATATTTTTTCCTCATTGACCTGGTTGGAAGCTTTTAACTTTTGCTCATTCATCAAAGATTCTCCCTCCTAAATCCCTTTTTTCCTCATTTCCTCTTTGCAGGTTGTTTAGGGGAAATATTCTCTGGAAAAAAAATTTTTTTAATTTTTTTATTAATTTTTTTAAAAATAATTTTTCGAATCAATCAAAAATTAAAAACAATTTTCAAATAAAATTTACCCTAAAAACAAGATGTCAACAATAGTTGACAGTTTTGGCCAAACATTTCCTCATGTTCAATTTCGTGAGAATAATCATCACCGTTCTCCTTCCAACGTCCAACAACTCAGTACAAATCTAAACGGGGCAGTAGCTACCATTAATAATGGAAAATTAAAGAGTTTAACACCTCCACAAATGTATGAATTGGATAATACAACTGTGGTTAATGAAGAGTATAATGGTTGGAAAAAAGTTATTTTAAAATTCTGATATTTCTGTCCAGGTTCAGCTCAAACCAACTCCCCTCCAAATAAAGTGCCAGCTGTAACTAATGGAAGAAGCAATACTAATGGTACTAATGGTGTGGCCAATGCTTATGCTATGGATGCTTTTACACGAAAAAAGTAAAAATATTATTCAATAAATAATTCTTTATTTGAACAGCATGCTTATCAGGGCTGTGCGTCATGGCGTTTGGCGTTTGGCGTTTTGCGTTTTGGCGTTAATTTTGGCCGATTTTTGGCGTTTTGCGTTTGGCGTGATTTTCCGATTTTGGCGCGCCAAACGCCAAAAATATACACCCCTAATGATGGAATTTTTTTAAAATAAATGGAGAAAGGGATGATCGAAAAAGGAAATTTTTCTGCGTACAGTCATCCAAAATTCTCAAAATTTTTGCCTGCGGCGCATAAAAAATGAAGAAATCTACTGCTTGGACTTCCAAAATTTTCAAAATTTTCGCCTGCGGCGCTTAAAGGAGGAAGCCCTTATCTTAAACTAATAGATGGTAGAAAAAAACTTTAGTCCCGTCAATCGTTTACTCTCTTCATGAGCTCTGTTATACTCATTACTCGCTTTATCCCTTCATATCCACCTTAATCTCAAGAAGTTCTATGAATTTCTTATTTTTTTAAATTTTTTAAAGGATGAATTTCGGCTTCTTTGCCTCCAAAATTCTCAAAAATTTCGCTCCGGCGGTAAAAAAGGATGAATTCTGGCTTCTGGGAATCTTGAAAATTCAAAAAATTTCGCCTGCGGCGCTAAAATGAGATGAACAGTGGTTTTTAAGTCTTTATAGACACTAAAAATTTTGGCGTTTGGCGTTTGGCGTTTTGGCGTTGATTTTGGCCGATTTTTGGCGTTTGGCGTTTGGCGTGTTTTTAAAATTTAAAAAATTGGCGTTTGGCGTTTGGCGCGCCACGCGAAAATTTTGGCGCACAGCCCTGATGCTTATTTTCCATATAGGGGATGTTTTACAGTCAATATTTTTATAAAAATATTTTTATTTCTATAAGATTTATAGATCCTTTCTATATCTGCTATTTTTACTTATGTCTTAAAGAAATATGGAAACCCTTAATTTTGATTATAAAAGATTCACTGAACAGATCCATTACCATGATTTAGTAGAACGAATAGTTAAGATACCTCTTACTGGATCCATCTTATGATCCACAAATTCAAGGCCAAAAACAAGTAAGTTACCCTGAAAAATTTCTCGATCTTGTGTTAGGATACGGAAAAAATTAATGTATTATCCAGCAATCCAGAATTTATCTTCTATTTTATTTCAGAGGCTTACCATGGGTCCTAGCTTCACAAATGTTTCTTATCTTCATCCTTGTTTTTGTGATTGGGTTTTTGCTTTACAAATTGTACTTATTTGATGAATATAATAAAGAGGATAGTTTAAATTTACAGAATGTAATTAAAATATAAAAATTTTAAAAATTATTTTTCGATTCTCAGATTAATTGTATCCAACCCCCTACGCTGGAATTAAATTCACAAGTGCCAGAAAATGCCCCTCAAAAAAGTTTTTCTGGGCATTTTAAAAAGGCAGCCGTTGTAAGTGATAATGTAATCTGTTCGGAACTTGGCCGGTTTCGTTTGATTTTAGAAAAAATATTTTTACTAATTTTAAAGTAATGTTTTGTTACGTGGAGGTAATGCTGTAGATGCAGCCATTTCTGTGTCTTTTTGTATTGGAGCTTTAAATTATCCTTCTGGCGGATTAGGAGGGGGCTTTCTGATGACATTCTTTCGCAGGTGATTAGACTGAGATAAACCTTTATCCCCAAAAATTTTCAGATTTGATGGCAAATGTTTAACCATCGATGCTCTCGGAATAATTCCTTCCCTAGCAAATAATGATACGAATCCGATTGAGAATGGTATTTTGAAATTGTTAATTTTTAAAAATTTTAAATGAAGGTTATAAATCTATTTCTGTCCCTGGAGAATTACATGGTCTCTGGACAGCTTACAAGCGTTTTGGAAGTGGAAGGATTACTTGGAATAATTTGATAATGCCTACAGTTCATTTACTTAATGAAGGTGAAATTTTAGAGAAATTTAGTTTACTTTAATAATGGAAAAGGAGTTGGACAGGGATTAAGACCTGTTGAACCAGAAACGGCACTTAAATCCGGGCAACGGTTCTGAGGTCTGAACTTTCTCTTTCCTGATTACTGAGACGGCCTTATAAATTTTCTGATTGATACCTAATTTTTGTTTTATTCTCAACAGGATTTCCAGTCACTCAAGCACTCGAAAAACTCTCAAAAGAATTCATGGTTAAGTTTGCCAATGAAACAAATAAAGATATAAGGTTTCTATATTTTGAACATCCCTATACTTTTTAAAATTTTCATTAAAGAAATTTATTTTTAAACCCAACAAACGGTGATCATTACCGTGAAGGACAAATTATTCGTAATCCACAGCTTGCAGAAACTTTAAAAAAGCTTGCATTAACTAATGACCCTATAAATTTGTTTTATGGAAATAATGGTGCTATAGCTAAACAAATTGTTGAGGAATTTGCTCAAAATGGTGATGAAATGTTTAATACAAAACTAAATTTATTTAAAGGTGCCTTTGTAACACGGAAAGATTTGCATAGCTACAGAAGTGTTATTGATGAACAGCCTTTCCTCAATAGCTATTCTGACCAGAAACTGGTTTTTTGTGGTCCCAAATCTTCCTCAGGCTTTGTTAAAATTCAAATGCTGCTTGCTATTTTGCAGAGTAATTTTTAACTAATATTAAGGAATAGACATATGTGATTAATAATTTGGCATGATAACGAGCTCTTGGACGGTTTTATTTCTAATTGTTAAGATGAATATAATTAATTATTATATCTCTTTAAAAATATTCCTTTAATTTAGAATTAAGTCCAAACTCGGAGAATATTACTTTGATCAATACTGAATATTGGCACAAATTTATTATGGCACAAAATTATATTAATACCGAATTAGGTAATACATAGTTTTAAAATTTAATTTTTTAATCCCTATCGTTGAAATTTAAGTAAAATTAGATTCTGAAGATCAACTGAAAATATTATTACAAAATATAACTCAAAATGGATTTATTGAAAATATTATTCAAAAATTTGGGGATAATTCTTTAACGTCTGAAATGCCTTTTAAAGAGGTTTCAAAAAATTTTTTGATTTTTAAAATCAATTTTTAAAGGAATTTTCAAGCCTAAATGAAGAGGATCTTGAAATTGGTAGTTCCCAGATAAATATTGTAGATTCTGATGGAAATACAATTTCTGTTGCTCATTCAATTAATTCCCCGTAAATTTTTTAAATGAGAATTTCTCATAAAAATTTTTTTCTAGTTTCGGTTCTTTACGTCGATCACCAATTTTGGGCATTTTATGGAACAATAATTTATTTAATTTAAACAATTCTTCAATAAACAATAGACAAATTTCACCGACAAGTCCAATAATTGTATATGACAGGGAAAGTAGAAAGGTGAAAAATTTTAAAAATTATCATATCTCTATCATTTAACAGATAAAACTTGCAATAGGCGCAAGTGGAGAAACATCCCTTCAAAAATCTTCCACTTTAGCTCACGTCTTATTTCAAGTTCTTAGCTTTAACAAAACTTTGAGAGAAGCGGTTGATATGCCTAGATTATATAAAAATCACCATGGTATCAGTTATGAGTCAGGGTTTCCAAAGGTGAATTTTTTTTAAATTATTTTGGTGAGACGGAGTTTGGTTTATTAGTGATCTCTAGAAAGAGACCAGTCTCAGTCAAGTCTCTAACTGACATTAGAGACTGGATCGAGACTGAGTTACTGTCCATTCTAAGCGAAATTAGAGACCAGACCTAGAAAAGATCTCGGTTATCGTGATCGATATTTTTATGAGATACAATCTCAATTTAAAAAATTCCCTTCTTTCAAACTATAAAACTTCAAATAACGTTGAAGACTTTAAGCATTTTAAAAGTACAATATTAAGTTTGTCACGCAATGTGACAAAGTCTCTCATTAAAAAAATTTCAACTCAAAAAATTTTTTCTAGATACTTGTTGAAAATCTAAACAAAAAAGGCTTTAAATTAAACAAAATACATTATTCTTCAAGTTTATCATTAAATGGAATTTTACGAGAAGGTGATGGCACTTTGTCGGCTGTCAATGATTATAGAGTTGAAGCTAATAATTATCCCTCCGGATATTAAATTTTTAAAGTTTTTGAAATATAATAATTATTTTTTTTAGTTTCTTATTAAATGTTATCTTAGTTTCTCTAATAGAATTTAAGCCCTTTTCCTCTAGTTTTTACCGTAAAACCTACAATTTTACCATGTTTTGCTTAGCATTTGATACATTCACAAGTAATTGCTAATGGTTTTCATGAGTCACACACGTTGGGTTTGTCCCGAAGCTTAATTTAATTCCCACAACATAGTATTGGATTCGATACTGATTTGATAGATTCTATTAGAGAGAATACAGTTTTGCTAGAGCGGTTCATAAGTACATAGTTCGTTTTTCTGTTATCTTAGAAAATGTCTATCTTTATTTATCATCTACATACTTACTTTAAAAAATAATTCTTCGAGTTATGTCTTTAAATTTTTGCATAAATTTGTACGAACCCCTATGGACCACCCTAGAATACTTATCTTTAAATTAAATTTATTCTCGTTAAGTTAAATATTATTTTTTTTATTTTTAATTAGCTTAATCCAAAACTTTACTTCCCAAGCTAAACCAAACTACAATTCTTAAAAACTTTTTAAAAAAAAATTCTTAAACCCCAAGATCTCTCGCCCATTTCTGAATTTTTCTAATTAATAAAATTTTTCAAAAAAATTTTTAAACTTGTTTTTTTCACATTATTTATGATAAATTAACTCAAATTTTTCTATAGCAACCAATAAAAATTAAATTTAATTGGCACTTTATTAAGTTTTTTTCAACACCTCTTACTTACTTGCACATTCTTTTTAATAATTATAATATAATGCACCTGCCATCGTTCTTCTAAAATTATTCTCAATAAAAATAAAAAATTATTTTTGAGATTATTGCAGATCCAAATTATTTTTTATTTTCTATTTAGCTATTTTTAAGGCATTATATTCTTTAATATTTAATTTTAATTAAATAATAATAGCTAAATTATCTTTAAGTATATAATTAATTCTAATATTATTCTTTATTTAGAGCATATGTACAAAAATTAATTATTATAATTTGGAATACCATTAAGTGTTTATTATTGTCAGATATTGTTATTAGTAAGGTTGTTGACTACCGATTATTAGCTGGTATCCCTCGGTTTTCGGTTAATTCTAATTTTAAAAACTCGGAGTTTCGGTTTTGAGTTTTATTTAAATTCAGAATTTATTTTTGTGGGATTTTTAATAAAAACTGCTCAGTTACAAAACTTTTCGGTTTTTGATTCTTAAAAGCTCATAAAAGAGGTCAATTTTGACAATAAAAATCAAAATTTTCTGTTTTAAAACCGGTAAAGAGCAATCCTATTTATTAGAATATACCTAAATGAGTTTTCCATTTACACAAAAATGAATCAAAAAATTAAAAAAATTTTATCCCCCGACTCAGAAAAATGATTAAAAATACCCTTTTCAAGATTTCAATCAACCTACCTAATTACTTATTGATAAAAGATGCCATCCTTAGTTATAAACTATAATTTTCAATTTTTTCAAAATCTAATCTACTTAATACAACCAAAATTAATTATTAATTACAATTATTTTTCTTTTATGCTTAAATGCCATGTTGAAAATTTAGTTTTTTTACCATTTAAAATAAAATAAAATTGTTAGGTGAGTATAAAATTAGTTTTGTTTGCTTCATAAATTTATAAACTCGCATTATAATTAATTATACATTTTTGGTTTAATCTAAATTTTTATTTAAAAATTTTAAAAATTAAAAATTCAATTTCTAATTTTGTTAAAATAAAATAATCTTTTTTAATTAATATTTATTTTGAGTCCGATTAATTTTAGCTCACTAAAAAAAATTAAAATTCAAGCTAAAAATTGTATTTATCAAACAGTTGTCCTTATTTTTCCTCAAGCACCTTAGTTTGTTTGGGCACCAATTTCCAAAATTAAGCCAAAATTGGTTGGCCAACTAATTTTAAAAAATTGTACATATTTAGATTAAGAGCGAGGTGAAAGTTTAATCCCGGGCTGGGTTCTATCCAGCGACCTTCTGGCAGTTATTGCTAGGCGTTTTCGCTCACCATGTACAGGTAGGTGCTCTACCAATAGAGCTGCCGTGACGCTGCCTTCACCTTATCTTTTAATAGTATGTAGACCTCCGCCTTGTGAGCGTTTTAAATGCTAGCTAGCTGGACCTTTCTCTTCCTTAAATTAGTATTGTTGAGTGGTTCAACTAATTAAAAAAATTTAAAAATTTTCAAAAGAATTTCAAGAAAAATGCCATTTTTTGCAAATTTAACAAATGGATTAGTGCTTAATATAAATCAACATTATTCACTTTTATTCCTTGTTATTGCTGAATTATTTTGCCATTTTTTGTTAAATTTTCCTTTTGCTGGAGTTAATATTTTGTTAATAATTAAAACAAGCATTTTACATCCAAATTTGAAATTTATTTTATTAACTCAAAGTTTTTGTATTTTTGCGAGGAGTATTAGTAAGTTTAATATTGGGTTAAAACATGGGTGGTTCACGCCATCGCAATTGAGCAGCCTTAGGAATTGTTTTGTTTTGAATCTTGACAGTGGGGTAGAGTTATGGTCCTAGATTCTTGATAAATTCGGAGATCTATAATTGTTATTAACGGATATCCCCGTTTTTCATTTAATCCGATTTTCTAAACCCGTTCTAGATCTGGTTTTTAATCAGATACGGGTTCGCTTTGGAGAGTGTAGTAGAGTTTTGTAATACTCTTGATTCACTTGATTCGTGGAAAATTGCGCATTTCTAGTGGTTATTAACCGATACTTTGGGATTTCAGTTAATACGATTTCCAAAACCCGGCTATGCTTTCTGGTTCTACTCTAATATCGAATTTGCTTTTGAAAAAATTTTTAAAAATTCCAAATTTCAGCCAGAAGCATTATGCTGTTAACAATGTTATTCAATGATGATTTAACTTGGAGTCCTACACATGAGCTAATCTTTATCTTTAGCTACTTTGCTTACTTTAGAAATGTTATCGCGCATATTTTGGTCATCGAAAGATTAAATGCAACCCTTTCATTTAGAAAATATGAGAGATCACGTGGACCTTGTTTTACTTTTGGATGGCTATTTTTTGTGGTTTGAGAATTTTTTTAAATTTTTTAATGATGGAGAGTAGGGCTATCGGATCTTGGGAATCCAATAGACGAGCTCCGTTTCTTGAAGCAATGTAAAACTTTCATATAAAACAGAATTTGCTCACTTTTGGCACTGTATATGGTACATCAACAACCTCCTCTACAACTTTTATTAATCTCTGCTTTTGGGCAATTATGTTTGTTTTGGCCATTATAGAGTTGATTGCAATTAAATCTATGAAAAAATATAATGACCAGATATATACATCTCGTTCTTTTATTAATGCGACATTATCTGAACGTTATCAGGTTATCAGCTCTAATCAACTTTTAAATTATTAAAAATGATTCTTAGCTGGCAGAAAATATAAGAACAACTAAACAGCTAATACCAATTTTGGCTATTCACTTTTTCAATATTGCTTTGGGAACTTTTGTTAATTGGACAATCTATTACCAAGCTTTCGGCCCTATTTCTACTGGAATGTTTGCTTATCAATTATTCAATCAAATTTATATGTTGATTATTGCTTTCACGAGTTTTTTGATTGAATTGACAATGATTTTGTGAGTCTCTTGAAAACATTTCGGTAATAGTCGGTTTCGTACCCCCCCCCCCCTTTTCTTTCTCAAGGTATTCAAAATCGAGCTGCATCGAATGACCCCAAAATCAACGTGATTTGAATGCCGGGTTTCGGGTCGGGTTTTCGAAAACTTCTCGTGTAGGGTTTCGCGTCGAAAAAGTCCGGGTTTCGGATATTGGGTTTCGGGTAACCCGTCCCATCCCTGCTATACATAAAAATACAATTTTTAAAAGTCCCTTCGACAATTTACAAAAATTCCCTTTTTTAACTATTTTTAAATACAACGCGCTGTAGATATTTTGTTTATTTTAAGCGATTTGTTATTATGAAAAATTATAAAAACTAGTAAAGGTAAGGAGAGAAGAAAAGTAAAAAAGAGAGAGTAAAGGAGAGAGAAGAAAAGTAAAGGAGAGAAGAAGAAAAAGAGAAAAGGAATGCAAGAATAAATGCAAGAATAATTAGTGTTCTCTATACCCTTTCTATTAACCATCTAACAATTACTTATGCTCAAATCTTTTATTTTTTTCTATTCTCCCACAATTTATCCATGGACCGATACGGCGGACTATCTACACTAGAAGAAAGCTGGTGGGGCATGACTTCGGTCACTGTGCAGCCAGTGGACACTATTGGTAGATAGACATCAGTGGCTGTGCGTTCTGGCAGCTCTATTGGGGCAGTGCGCTTCGGTGGCTTTCCAATAGTGTTTGTGCGGAGGCAGTTCGCTGGTGACCATGAGAAAAATTTTGGAGTGTCCATGTGCCGTTTTGTACATGGGACCGGCCCCTGCTTAGGGGTCATTTAATGTTTAGAAATTTTGGTTTACTCATTCGATGCAGCTTGATGAGTAGAATTACTATTTCTCAAATCTGAGAGAAGTAAGGAGAGAGAAAATGGTTCTACTGGACCATTTTGAAACTTTGATAAAGAAAAAAGAGGGGGGTACGAAACCGACTATTACCAACATTTCTTTCTTCAAACATTTCTTGAGCTGTCCACGATTCGTAATTCGAACATTCTTGGGAGTTAGGTAGCTTGGTTTTGGTCTCTAGATATGTCTTGTTCTTATTGTTAGTCCTTAGAAGTTAATCGGGGGTATGTCCAGGTCTCGCGCTGTTATTATCTTTGTATAGATTCTTTCTGAAACATTTTGGTCTTGGACAGCTCTATTAACCTTGATTTTAACCTATTTATCTTCTTTTACTTTTCCAGGTGCCATCCTTATTTGAAACGAAATTTTGTCGGTTTGGCACTAAAAATACGTTCATTCTTCAAATGCTTGTTAATCTTCAAATTAAGACGGCACCAAGTTGCTCCTACTTCCATTACAAATAATGGATTTGATAGCAATACTATCAAAAAACGAGCTGTTTCACTAACAAGTGTTCAAGGATTGGAATTACTTCCTTGTGGTGGGGTGAATCAAACAGAGGAATATTTTACACAATTAGCATTATCGTGGGCAAGAAGAAGATCAATTAATAATTGAATTTTAAAATTTTATATCACCCGAAAATAAATATATTTTATACAAAATGATTAAAATAAACTGATTGATGGATTAAGGCTAGAGCGCAAAGTGCAGATGCTAATAATTTGCCGTATTTTCTTTAACTCGAATAATATAACCACACCATTCTCGATTAATTCCTCACTCTCGATTAATTCCCCATGCTAGGAATGGGTTGAAACAATGATTACCCTCCCTCGCCAAATAACCCCTCTTCACCTCAAATTATTAACTATCCCACGGAGGTGTTCCCATCCGACAGATTGGATGTGTGTTCCCCATCTCAAGGATGATGATGTTCACCTCGAATAATTACCTATCGCATGGATGTGTTCCCCATCCCATGGATGGGTTGAAATATAAATTAAGAAAATATGCTAAGTGGATCGTGTTCAAGTGAGGAAAAGTTAAGGTAAGTGACTGTTTGAGCATACTATGCTATGAACCATTTGTTGTTCGCCATTTTCAGTCAGAACAATAGCACCTTGTACGACTTTCAAATGCGGTATTAGATCATCCTCATCATCCTTCTCATTGTTATTATTATCAATTTGATGATTGCTCTCATTCCTCTCTCTTGTATAAATATAATTATTGTCAATAATGTTATTATTCATTGAAAACACATCTGAATCAACATATGGAATCATTCTCATTTGATCTTCGTCTAATTGAAAGCTTGGACGTCTTTGACGAAACCAGCCTTCATGGGGGATCTGAAGATATTTTAAACTAAAATTTTGAGGATTTTCAGATAATACCTCTAATAAGGCCGGTTTTTCATGGATAGACTCTTCATTCTCTTCAGTCTTCAAGGATAAACTCGGAGATGGGAGTTGAATCTCAACTTCAAAGTCAGAAACATTGCTTATAGAACTTGTATCTTCCTTAAATTTTTTGAAGACTAATTTTGATCATTTAACTGATAATTTTTTAATCAAAAAACCTTAGATCCATCAAAAATTCCCTCAAAAGTATTTGGCAATTCTATACCACTCTTGACAGCCTCTTCGCGCATTTGACGCATCATGGACTCCTTCCTACGCTTTCCCAAGAGTGGAAGTAATACTTTTGCAAGAAAATTGTGTTCAATTTTAGAAGCATCACCATGCTTGTAATTTTCCAGTGTTTGGGCTAATAGTCGTTTATAAAAATCCTCGATGGAGTTTTGTATTACATTTATGCACATTGATACTAATGAAAGTCCGATCATAACAAACACAAAGAATATAAGCATATAGCCTCTTCTTGATACTTTTACATCTCCAAGTCCGACAGTCAAAAGCGAAATGCAAACAAAATATAATGATTTACTATAAGTCCAATCCTTAATTTTATAAATATTTTTCCAAAATAATTTTCAGAAACCTCAACATGCTTAAAAAGTGCCGCACAAAAAAGCACCCAGGAAACTGTGAAAGTAATGGCTACAAGAACATGCATTCTTGGCACTTCCTGATCTTCCTGATCATCCGAATTTTGATCCTCCTCTTTGTTTTCATTATGAGATTCATTAATACTTCCTTAAAAATAGGTTGATTAATAAAAGCGTGAATTATCATCAAGATATTTTCCTTATAGTTAAACTAAAACTAATTCCCAATTAATTGGTTAATAACAATTGACCACTAAGTATAGGGATCGAGCGGTATATGATACTCGAAGCCTGCCACAAATAAAAATTTTTCCAAGAAATTTCCCTTTTTCAGTGTATAAGGTAGGGCAGCTTGCCAAGCCTGCAGGGTCGGTATAGTCGGAGATCGGGGTTTGCCGTCGTAGAGCTTCGGGGTTCGTGTCGTAGTTGTAATAGGGGGACGGAGTGGAGTATCCCGTCCGTGATAGGGGGACCGGATACACAATCAATCCACTATCCGAAAGTGGATCAAAGTATTGTTATTTTACTCTTGCCCAAAATAAGAATAATCCCCGTCATGACTAACCCGTTTCAATCAAATTCTTTGTTAAATTATCTACAGGGTCTGAATCTGTTGTTACTCTCGAAATTTTTTGTAAGTCTTCTGAGGTTAGTGTTGTAGTTGTTCTAGCATCAAAATGATCAAATATTTCCCTCTGCGCTATGCGTTGATCTTTGAAAAAATGTGTGGCTTTGCGTTCAAGTTCTTTCTGTGTCTGGATTTAAATTTTTTAATTTTTTTTGATTAAAAATTTTTACGCTTTTCAAAGAATGCTTGGTACTATCAATAATTTTTGAACGCTTTGATTGCTGTGAGGATTTCTTTGGGGCGCAATTCAGACATAATCTAATATTATTTAAAAAATATTTTTGCCAATTCTTGTCTAGACAAGCCATTAATTCATTTATTGTTTTGTACAAGAATTTTCCCAATTCATTTAAAGTAATTAACATTAAGGGTATACCTTCAAAATTCTTTTTTAATTTAAAAGCCGAATTAGATTATTAACCAATGATCGAATATATTACAGTGCCAATCTGTCCAATATTTGTTTCACATGCAATATCCCCATATCCAATTGTTGTGAAAAGTGTTCCCGAAAAATACCTTTAAAATTAGATAGTTCTGAATGATAGGAATAGCCCTGATTGGGGAAAATTAAAGATAGCTTGTATGGCAACTTGTAGGATGTATTAAATTTTTACTTTATATGTACTTTTCTGAAAGCCTTTTAGATTAGTTCCATGTGATTATTCATGGTTACATTCAGAACATTATGCTTTAGTGTGCTTTCCAACAGATCCCAAAATTATATAATTTTTGTTTGGGTATTCAGGAAGCTCTGGCGAGAACATTAAAGGCCTCTAATCCATTGGGCTTTGTGATAATTAATGGAAATACAGAGTATTTTTAAATACAATTCTTCTTAAATTTGTAATTAATAAAGCATATTAATAATGCATACATTGCTGTAACAAATGTCCATTCCTGCTCATTTTTGATTTTATTGCGCTTTTCTTCTTCATCTATATCTGAGTGGAATGATGGAATATCAAGCTGTTCAAATAAATCCTCAACTAAAATACCAAAAAGCTTATTCCTCTGTCCTTCTTCCAAGCTCTCGTCGTTAAAAGTCAATTTAATATTAGTTAAAAATTCTTTACGAATGAGTTCATAATATTGGATTCTTTTAAATTTTAACTTTTTTAAATTTTATTTTAGAAATATATTTTTCAATCTTGGGAATTTTGAACTTTGTATGCATCTTTATATCTTCATCCCAACTCTATCACGATAAGTATCCAGCACTACGTGTTAGAACCTGTATTATCCGCTTACTTGGGATATTACGGCTTTTCTACCGGAAAACCCGAATCACGGTCCTAGGAAGATTTCGAAGATCCGCCTTGAACCTCAACCCGACTTTTTTTTCTCAAACCCCCTGGTACACCATAATCTATACCATGTATCACCAGCTTATACTATTAGAATCTGGTGCGTGTACCACAATATATCTGTGGTAAGTCCACTGTACTGCCATAAAATTTTTTTGCGAATAAAGGTCTGCTCACTCAAAGCTATGGTACACACTCCCAATAACGGACCATATATCTAACACAAAAGCTTCTTAAATCTAGGTAAAATCTAAAGGGTCAAACAGAGTTCAAGATTTTCAATTTTTAACTTACTTTTCAATCTGTCTTTCAAATTCTGCTTTATTTTCTGTCAACCAAAACAGTAAGGCACCAAAAATCATATAAATACTAATAAAAGGGATTGGGACTAAATGATTTAAATGCCATTTTTTATAAAATAGTTTGGCTGATCTTATCAAATATTTTTTATGTCGTTTATAAGTGCTTAATTTAAATATATTATTTTTCTTATTTATTTTCTTGATTTTTGTTGTTGTTAAAGGCTGTAGAAGAGAATTTGTTGGCATATTTTTTTAAATATCTTAAGTAAGCTGAAGCAACAATTGAAATCTCTAATTAAAATCTCTCAGAGATGATTAAATTTGCAAAGATCGCGAGGCTTCGTTACGGGGCGTATATCTATCAGTTGAAGGCATATCTTTGGGATGGTTTGACAGTGGACAGGGGATCTGGGGATGGGTTTTATAATTTTTCCATCTCGAGGGGATTGAGTCGGGTAACAATAATAGTCTAGGGGATCGGGTCAGGGATGGAGTGAGTGAAAAATATCTATGAAATAGAAGAGAATTTAGAAGAGAATTTGTTGGCATAATTTTTTAATATCTTAAGTAAGCTAAAGCAACAATTGAAAGTGAGTGAAAAATATCTATGAAATCAGGTCTTAATCGAATCGAACAGAGAAAATATCCTAAAGGAACAGGCTGTGGATAATCCTTAAAAGGATCGTTCGTAGCAGGGTCACAACTAATTTATCCTAATATTAAAAATTATCTTAAAGCTCTATAAAGCCCTAATCTTTGATCACATTTGCAGAAAAATAATAATTTTTCCAAAGATTATTAGCAGTAAAATAATTTCTTTGATCCTGCCAAATTCTCGATCACAGTCTTTTTTTCGCTACCCATCGATATTTTTTTGAATAGAACATAGTAGTTAGTAGTTGCACATCTGGCTATCTATTAAATCATGAATTGAAAAGTAAAAGAAGAAAAAGTTTTTTTCCAAGTTAATCCAAAATAAATCTAAAAACTTAGCCCCCCCCCCCCCTCCCATTTTCTTTTGTGACGTTAGTTTTCTCAATTCACAACTCTTTTATTTCAAATGTTTGTTTTTATGTTTATATTAAGAAGCAAAAAATTTTTAAAAGAAAATTTTTTTATTGCGCATGCCGACAACTTAAGCACTAAAATAAACAGAAAAACAATTTAAATTTGAAATTGTTGTCTGATCAGAATTCTATGTAAATATATATGTAGGTTAGATATTCTATTTTTGATAAGTTTTGATAATCATTAATGGATTAAATTAAGTGATATTTAATAGAGATCGAGATTTTCATAAAACCTTGAATTTGATCTTGATTTTAGGTGAGGACCTTGACCAGATCAAGGTCCCAGAGTCAAAAAAAAATCAAAAAACGTTTAAAAATGCCTTGATCTGGACTCTGGATCCAGGAAAAATCAAAGTCTGGATTTAGATCCAGCTCGATCTCTAATATTTACAGTAGTAAAATATTCTTTTGTTATTCCTTGAAATTTATTTATAATGTTCTCTACCGGCTACTTAGTTTATTAATATGTTCGTTTCAGTGCCAATTTGAGAGTAATAAATGAGAGAAAACTGTATTTGAGTGAGAAAAGGAAGAGCAATGGTTAAAAAGTTTTAATTTTCGGAAAAAATAATAAAGACTAGAATTTTAGAGAAGTTGATTTTAAAAACATTCGGTGAAGAAGGAGGCGAAACTGACACACGTCTGTTATGTATGTAATGTTTAAGTTCAGAATTTCTGAAAATTTATAAAATTCACAGTCTGATGCTTTTGAAATATGTACAGTTTACTCTGACAGTTTATTTTTTTTTTGAGTTTAATAAATTAGTTGTTTAATTTACGAGTTATAATTTTTATTATTTCACTTGTATTCTTCCTCAAATATTTTTTTGATTCTTTTATTATTTAAAATAAAAAATTTATTTCCACCTTTACCTTATTTCAAAATTTTAAACTCTGTTTATTTTCTGTTTAATAAATCAAGTTATTATATTTATTTTGTGTCGACAAAATAAATATCATTTATTTTGTGCTTTCTCAAATTAAACAAATAGATTTATTATTTTATTTTTACATTTTTATGGACATATCCTCTGTTTTTAAAATTTGATACAAACAAGATTTAAACTCTTAATACATCCCCATGGCAACTATTTCTTTATTTATCTAATTTAATTTTCACACAATTTAAACCATTTATTTTTAACAAGACCTGGTCACGGATACGGACGGATATGGATACAAATAATAACAAAATGTCTGCGGATATCCGCCTGTATCCGCTGTATCCGTCGTAAATATGCGGATACGGATACCAAGATCAGTATCCGTGACCAGGTCTGTTTTTAACAATAATTATTCACTTAAAAAATTTTTAATTGTATTTTTTATTAAAAGTGCACATAGTGTAAATGCTCCTGCTCCAGAAAATTCCTACCAAGATTTTCCAACTTTCAAAAGATTTGTTAGATCCTTCAGATCTTTATGGACCATCGCTGATCGAAATCGTAGGTTTTCGTGAATTTTCGATGATTTTGATGATTTTTGTTTCTGATTAGCTTAAAATTTATTTCAATTTCTTTAGTTCCGTGTTTCGTAAAACATTTCAGGAATAACTTAAAATAACGAAACTTTTAGCCATTTAAACAAACATTTGACTTTTCTTTTTTCACATGCAGTATATTTTTAATGCCAGCCGTTTGCTCTACCCTCCCCCCCCCCCCACTCTCGCACACATACCTCTCTATTTATTAAAAATTTCACAAACTACAAAATTATTATACACAGTTATGTATATTCTCGAAACTATATTTTTCATTTTTATTGATTCATTTCCTTTCATAATTTTAAATTTTAGACGGTAAATTTTATTAATAAAAATTAATTTTTCCTTATAGTTTATAAAAAATTTTAAAAATATTTTTTTATTTTATTAACGAAAAAATTTAAATTTTAAAAAACAGAAGAGCATTTTTATAACCAAAACAGCCCAAAAACTTCCAATAATGTCCTATATTATATCCCCAGCATTCAAAGGGCTTTCATGCCAGGTATGTGGGCAACAATCGCATGGAAGGCGCTTTGATGTGCTTTGTTGCCTTCCTTGTGCCGCTTTTTTCAGGTAAAATATTTCTGGAAATATTGTCCGTGATACTAGAGAGAGATTCCATCCTTACAACTCTTATCATTACAACTAGGTTTTTAATCCTGTGATTAATGCATTATCACATCCTTTCCAGACTCTCGGTTTTAAAACACGAAAGTTTGATATCTTTTGCCAAAATTTAACCGTTTCTATGAAATTTTAATGACCGAAAATGTTCGAAAATGAGTAATTTTTTTAAAATTTTCCCGAAATAAACCGATATTAACGTAAAACTCTAACAAAAAAGCTGAGTTTTTAGCTTGAATTAACAGAAAACCTGGTGTCAGTCAAAAACCAAACCAAAATACGGGGTCGAAAATCGACACAACTTTAAACCCGGGGTACCAGTTAATAATCGGTTATGTCAGCCCTATCTTTTCCCATTATACATACAGTCATCGACATAAAGATAGGGGCAAGTGTAAATGAAATAAAAATTAACCATTTTTCAGTCAAAAAATACGTTCTATATAGCAATCGAAAGCTCTATTCGTATCTCAGTTGACATGTTTCTGTATTTTTCATGTAATTGAAAATTGGTCGAGATAATCCGGATCTACCGGATATACCAAATCCCATATCCTCGGAAAAATTTTTCTGAAAAAATTTGACAAACCCATTTGATAAAGCATATTTTTCTGAGTATTTCCCACAAAACCGCTTAGAAATATCTTTTTCCGGGCCAGAGATATGATTTTTTGAAAATGGCATTTTTCCCTTAAAAATTGAATTTTTTGCAAAAATAGGCGAAAAATGCCATTTTCAAAAAATCATATCTCTGGCCCGGAAAAAGATATTTCTAAGCGGTTTTGTGGGAAATACTCAGAAAAATATGCTTTATTAAATGGGTTTGTTAAATTTTTTCCGAAAAATTTTTCCGAGGATATAGGATTTGGTATATCCGGTAGATCCGGATTATCTCAGTCAATTTTAATTTTCATGAAAAACGCAGAAACATGTCAACTGAGATACGAATAGAGCTTTCGATTGATATATAGAACGTATTTTTTGACTGAAAAATGGTTAATTTTTATTTCATTTACACTTGCCCCTATCTTTATGTCGATGACTGTACCTTAGCAAATCCATACCGTTTAAATATAATTTCCCAATTTAGGCGGTATAATGGCCTCAAAACCAAACGTAGATGTCAGAGAGAGAATAAATGTGAAAAACTGGGAATTGGTTTGCATTTTTGATTAAAATTCTCTTTAAAAATTTAATTTTATTCAGAATTTTTAAAGAAATGTAAAATATGTCGGTACCGTAAATGTATTAGTATAGGCATGAAAATGACTAAGGACGAAAAGATTTTGGAAGAAAAAGAGGAAGAAAGTTTTTTACAAAATTTTATTGAGGCTTATGAAGAATATGTTACATTTCAACAAAAATTATTTTTTAATATTTATCCAGAGAAAGTATATCAACAAGCTTTGGTTAGCTAAAAAATAATTTACCAGCCTTATATGGTCGAATAATTACCCTCTCTCTAGAAATAAAACAATAATTACTCCTTCCTAAATACCACTAACAATTACTTCAAACTTCAAAACGAATACTTGCCCCCTATGACAAACTGGGTTGGACTGCTGCCCTAATAGCCCATCCAAACAGACCATCCAAACACGCTAGACTATACTAACAATTTTATTTTTTATCTGGTGTTAGCGCCACCCCTACCAATTAATTACCCCCTCTAGCGAAAGGATTTAAACGATAGTGCGATAATTATCCTGGGTAGTTATTCGGACATATACAGTAAATTAAATCATGAATTTAATTAAATTAAATCACGAATTTAATTTTAAGTTCTTCATTCCTGAGACCTTAGAAATGCTAAATTGTTTTGAAATGAATTGCAGACCGGCATTGCTCACAATGCTGAATACTTCAATCAAAGAATTTAAAATTTTAGAAACTCAAGAAAAGGTAACGAATTTATTAGAGGCGCCCAAGACTCTTGGCCTTTAGACTTGGCTCAGGACTTTCCTTGGGGGTTTTTCGATCTTGATCTTGAGGTATGGAGGTGAGTATTGGGTCTTGCGGTCCAGTCTTGTTTTCGGGCCTAAATCTTGAAAAACTTTCGGCCGTGGTTATCATTATTAGATTTTTTATTATTATTATTTACAGCTCGAATTATTCGACTCCTGCTTTAATCAATTAAATTTTCTAAATTGTCTCAATTTAACAATCACTAACTTTCACTCAGAAAATTATCTTGTTGATAAATTTATGTTAGCCTATGGCCATTTGTTTGATTTTGGGTTTGCTGATAAAATAATTAATTATTGGGTAAAGGATATGCTAAATAAAGAGGATTATTTTAAGTAGGTTTAAATGATTCAACGTTGATTTTTTTATTAATTAAAAATTTTTAAAGTGCAATTATGACTGAAATTAAGGAAAAATATTTTCTTATCAAACTTTTTATTGAAATCTCAAAAATACAAAAGGATGATTGTTGTGCACTTATGGCCATAACTTTATTTAATAAAGGTAATCTTTTAACTCCCCCCTCCCTTCCCAAGGCTAAAAATTGCTGCTATAACGAAGTTAAATAATAGTTAGTTATCTGAGGACCCTGATTCAACTTTTAAGGTTGAATCACAACTTTAAAAAGCAGTAACCTATGAGAATACTTTGGATATCCTTTACTTTGGATATCCTATGGTGAGTTCCGACTGCATTATTAATTAGAGATCGGACCGAATTTCTATTTTTTTATTTTATTTTTTTTATAAAAATTTCTATTATTTTTTATTTATTTTTATAAATTTCTATTATCTATGTAATACTTTCTATTATTTATTATTTTCTATTTTCTATTATCTATGTAATACTTCTCGAGATATCTATCATTAGTCTGGTACTATGCTCCAAGACCCACAAGTATTGTGCATATAAATTATCCCTTAACCTCACCAGCTTCCAAAAATTATTATATACCTATACCTATTTAGCTTCTTCAATGAATCCCTCAGATGGACAAATTTGGGAGAAGTTGACTGAAACAATTTTAAATGAATGGCTCCAGAGGTTGTGTAAAAGGTTTAATTCTAAGAAAGCTGCTTCTGTTCGTATTGCTTCATTAATATCTTTGCTGGTTAATTTGAATGTAATTTTTAAATTTTAATTAAACTAAAATAATTTTCTATTTTAACAGAATCATTGTAAAGAAATCAAAAAATATTCAAACATAATTTTCTCAGATTCTGTTGTTCCTATAAGCTTTGTAAAGGAGGAGTGCAAGGTCCCAAAATTTTTATTTTCTTAATAAAAATTTCAAAATCATAATATTTTAGTTAACCTTTATACTTCCAAATCTGCTTCGTATTTTGAATGCTCATAATCGAATTTGGGGGGCATTTTATGATGTGCCAGACAATTACTTTAGAAAGTTTGCTGATTTTAATGATGCAATAATATCTCCAAACAATATTCTTGGTTATCATGAAAATTTTAACGTATTATTTAATATTTTATTTTGTCATTCGGACCTCACTATATATGGGATGTATAGTACCTTTTCATATTAGATATTATCAATAACAATAAAATTTGTTTGGCCACTGGGAGGCGGGGGGGGGCTATTTAGGCATCAAACTTCGGGCCAAAAATCTGAACTGTCGAAGATCAGAAATGGTTCAAATATTTGAATTACAACAGACTTTAGGCTTACTTTCTGTTAAGTTGCCCCTCATATACGTTTTTCACCGCCGTGTATATATCAATTAGCTATGTACCTGTCGAATCCTAATTTTAAATCTTCGCAATCAGATATAATATCTATTCTATTTAGCCTCATCCTCCTGTTATGAAGGAGCAAGATAGACAAACATTTTTCACTGAGCTAGATCAAAGTAAGGATGCTATATGCCACCCATATGTTTTAAAATACGTTGTTGTCACTCGATTACTAGTTGTTGGTATCTACAATGCTTTGCCATTCTTTAGACAATTGTCAAGAAATGATCAAGTTTGGAATTTTAAACAAAATTAATTCAATTTAATAATTTTTAGAGCTTATTATTAAATCATCATATAAGAATTGTTAATTCTTATATCAGTTCCTTCATTTCCGCAAAAATGAAGTCAAATGTGTTAATTGGTACAGACGGCATTAGTGCTTTGGATATTGTCGAAGCACAAACAAAATATCGGGAAAATAAAATGTAATTTTAATTTAATAACGTTCAGAACGCTCAAGAGGCCTTAGGTTAAGATGTGTTAGTTGTAAATTGGTTGGCCTCCGGGCATAAGACCTCAGAAGACCTGTATCTGATGAGATCTCAGATCTGTATCCCCTTTCGATGGAATGCTTCCGCTTCGCCCTCGTTCTTTATGCTTCGCCCTCCGTTCTCCCTCCTTCCATCTTTCGCTTAAAAAATATGGCAGGTCCATCCCTAATACCCACGAATACCTAAGATTATTATTTGCGAGTAGGGTTCAACTGTAATTAAAAAATAAATTTGAATAATTTCGAAAAAAATTTATTTTTTTAGTTTAATGAATTTGGCACAAAGAGCATTTACTAAACTAATTGACCCCTTCTTCCAAATAATTCCAACTATTGCTGAAGATGAATTCGCTTTAACTTTAACAATACTTTGTGCAACTGGAGGTATATCCCATCAATAAGAACCTAAATTTTTCTTTTACCCAACAGTATCTGATCTCTCTTTACATGCCCGTGTACTGCTCCAAAATGAATGCGAATTTTATGCCAAAAAGCTTTTAAATCTTTGTCAAGTCCGGTTTGGCGATGTGAAGGGTGCTTGTCGTTATGCTGAATTTATGCATTTAATTGAAACTGCATTCACGTTTGACAGAAATTTTGAATTATACGTTACTTATGTATCAACTTTTTATATTCAAAAAAGCATTGATATTTACATTCCCGAATATTTGTTAAAATTATTATTCTAATTTCGAAGCTCTCTGATTACTTGAAAGAAACAATGTGATTTATCGTCAATTATTAGAATATATGCGATTCCGCATTACCCATTTCCTTTTATAACCTCACTAGCGAGAGTTTGGGATAATAATTACCCTCCCTCATATGCCCACCACACGTTTAAAGTTCAAAACTTTGGATAATTATTCAAGAACCTTTCCTGGCTCTTTGATATTTTAATTCCTAGCTCTTTAAATTTTAATAAATATGTCCGGGATGCATCGGCCTTCGCGGATGCTAAAAGCAGAAGATAATCACATCCCTGGTATATTTATTTATATCGAATCCGAGGCAGCTGGATTATATACAAAGAATACGGTATCTCTCCTAATATTCTTTTGATTCTTTAATCTGCCATTACTTAAAATTTCAATTCAAATTTAATTTAATTTTAAATTCTTATTCAAATTTTTATTTGTTTAACAATCAATATTTTTCGTACTCGTTACCAGCTGTAAATTATCTATTTTAATTTACCTTTAAAAAATGTTAGAGGAAATTTTTTATTGAATTTTTATTAATTTTATTAATTTTTTTAATAAATTTTAACATTCAAAAATTTGATAAAATTTTATAAAAAATTTATAAAATTTTTAAATCTTAAATTCTGTATATACCTAACTATCTACCTACTTCTTAGAATATTTCTTAAAAAGCATAACTATGTGTGATCAGTACATAAATTTAATTTATCAAAATTCTTACTATTTTGTGCCCAAAATATCCTCACGAATGTGTATATTTATTCATACTTCTATAATTTTTTATATCTACATTTTATTAATAAACACAGTATTTTTTATTTACATACCTTTATTTTTAAATATCCCTTCGTGTATATATCCTTTCATTTAAAATTAAATATCCCTTCTTTAAATTCTCTCATTCTTCAATTGCTAATACCGTATTCTCACGTTTAATTCCCCTTACCTGCCCACAGCAACCTCGAATAATTTTTTGCTTTCCATTGCTTCCAGGGATGGATTGAGATAATAATTTCACACCTCCAAATTCCCTATTGCACGTTCAAATTTCAAAACAAATTTCAAAAATATTTCAAAAAAATTTAAAACTTCCCGAACCCATAAATGGGCTGAGACATTAATTTTCCAGGGAATTAATCAAGAAAATACGTTGAATTTTTTTATTTTTTTAATTTATTCGATTTTTATTTGATAAAAAATTAAATTTTTGAATAAATCATGATTTTTAAATATAATTTTTATTTAAAAATATTTATGTATATTTTTTAATCTAATTTTATTCTTAAAATTTTTTAAAAATTAGTTTTATTCTAAAAATGCCCTCCTATATAGTATCCTCAGCCTTTGAAGGACTTTCATGCCAAGTTTGTGGTCTACAAGCCCATGGAAAGCGTTTTGAAGCAGTTTGTTGTCTTCCCTGTGCTGCTTTTTTCAGGTAACTTTTTTCTGGAAAAATCAGAAATGTTTGGAATTTTTAGACGTTACGTCCTTTTGAATTGTAAACATAAATGTCTCCAAGAAAATAAATGTGAAAACTTTGGGACTGGTATTTTCGAATTTACTGTAGCTTTCTAAAATTTTGATTTAAATTTAGAACAGATAAAGAAATGTAAGGCTTGTCGGTTCCGTAAATGCTGTAATATTGGAATGAAATTGTCTAAGGAAGGAAAAAATACTGAAAATAAGGAAGAAGTTTTCTTACAAAAATTTATTGAGACTTATGAGGAATATATTACATCTCAACAAAAATTGTTTTTTAATATTTATCCAGAAAGATTAAATCAAGCCTCACCGGTTAGCTAAAATAATTGATAAGTAAATTAGTCAATCCCTTTCCATAAATATCTGAATATAGGGTAGAACTGATAATTTTTATAGGGTAGAACTGATTATTGGGTAGAACTGATTATTAAACCGGGCCGTTCCAGTCTTTTGCGTGCCTCATTTTTTTCGGGCCGGGCCGTTCGAGTCTTTTTTGGGCCAGAATTCGATGCCCGGTTCAATCTATCGAACCGAACCGGGCCAGCAACCCTACTCTATATGTTAGATATCTAAAGAATTTTTTGCCACTTACTATCTTGTTTTAGATAAAAACATTCTCCAAACATAGTCCTTATCCACTAACCATCCTTCAATCGACTGATGTTTTTCAATATCCATTTTATTCCCTAGGCTGGATAGTCAGCATTAGTGTTGGCAGATTCTGTGAACTCCGCGGATATCCTGATCCGATATCAGTACTCTTTTTTCTGGTCCAAATATTCGCATTCCCCAACAAAATTTGGCCTTTTATTTAAAAATTTAAATATAAATTAAAATCATTTACAGTATTTTATTCCCGAAAACTTACAAAAATTACGTTATTTTGAAATGAGTTGTAAACCAGCGATGCTTACAATGTTTAACAATTCATTTAAAGAATTTGAAGATTTGGGGATGCAAATTAAGGTACCGAAGATACTATCAGAATTAGTAATATATCAAAATTTCTAGCTCGAATTATTCGACTCCTGCTTTAACCAATTAAATTTTCTAAATTGTCTCAGTCTAACAATTACCAACTTTCAATCAGAAAATAATTTTGCCGATAATTTTATGTTGGCATATGGCCATATTTTTGATTTTAGAATTTCTGAACGAATAATTAATTATTGGGTGAAAGATATGAAAAATAAGGAAGACTATTTTAAGTAGGTTCCAAATCCTTTTAATTAAATCTGAATTAATTTTTCAGTACAAAAATGACTGAAATGAGAGAAAAGTATTCTTTATTTCGAAATTTTTTGGAATTTTCAAAATATAAAATTAAAAAATTGGATTGTTGTGCCCTTATGGCCATTTATTTGTTTAATAAAGGTCGATAATTTTAAATCTTTTTTAATCTCAGTTCTTGAATATTTAGCTTCCTCAATTAATTATTCCACAAATACGGAAACTTGGGAGAATTTGAAAAAAACAATTTTACTTGGATGGCTCCAAAAGCTTTCCAAGACGTTTAATTCTAAAAAAGATGCTTCTGTTTATATTGCTTCATTAATTTCTTTGCTCTTTAATTTGGATGTAATTTTTAATTTTAATCAAATTTTAAAATGCAGATTAGGTGCGCGATTTGTTTTTAGCATAACTCGCCTCAGTTTCATCAAAAATTAAAAATTCTTTTTTATCTGATTTGTAATGCACTGAGAAATTTGAATGTATCAAGTAGAGATCAGAATTTTCAAAAAGTCTGGATCTGGATTCTGGATTTATGTTACTAACTCGGACAAGATTCTTGATCTGGATTCTTGAAAAATCCAAATCCAGAGAGAATCCAGGACGATCAAAAAATGCCTAGATCTGGACTCTGGATCCATGAAAAATCCAGACTGGATCCAGATCCAGACCGATCTCTAGTATCAAGAATAATCTACTTTATACTCAGGGATTCGTAGCCCGGTTTATTTAAGGTTAATCTCTTGTCAAACTTTCTAGTCAAATTTTGATATCACGAATTTTCTCAATTGTGTTATAAATTGACTAAATAAAAAATTGCAAATTCTTGCTGAAGTTAAGGCGGATATGCTAAAAAAATTGCTCCTAATGTATCTAACTCCTGTATTTTTAGAACCATTGTGAAACCTTCAAAAAACAATTTTGTACATATTCCAACGCTGTTGTTCCAGTCAATTATTCGGATCAGACTTCCAATGTTAATATTATTTTAATAATATTTTCAATAATCTATTAGAAATCCTTCTCCTAGTTAAAAATTTTTTTCAATTTTCAGTCATCTTTTATTATACCTCCAAATCTGCTTCGTATTTTGACTGCTCATAATCGAATTTGGGGTGCATTTTATGAAATGCCTGAAAGTTATTTTGCCAGATTCACGAGTTTTAATGATCTAATATTCTCTTCTGACAACGTTCTTGGTTATTATGAAAGTTTTAACGTAATATTTTTAAATAATTTATATAGTAAAAGGAAGTCTAGTCCCGTTAGGCATTCATCCAGGGATCTCCTGGGAGTTAATGGCTAGGCGATTTTGCTCACCAATTACAGGTGCTTTACCTACAGAGCTACCTTTTGATTTAATAGATCCTAAACCCTTGCCTAGTTTCCCCTACAAAAATCCCCCTTACAAGTTTTAAACATTTATTCAGCCAAATCCTCCTGTTATGAGTGAACCAGAAAGACAAAGATTTTTCAAAGAGATTGATGAAATTCAAGATGTTCAACGTCACCCACATATTAAAAAATCTATTATCGTTTGCAGGCTATTAGTTATTGGAATTTTTAAAGCTTTACCTTTTTTTCATCGTCTGGCACGTAACGACCAGGTTGAGGATTTAAAGGAAATGATTAACTAGTTTTAATAATTTTTTAAGATAATTCATTTAAATCATCGAGTTAAGACAGTTAATATATTTTTAAAAACATACAATGCTGCAAAATTGAATACGGCAACCTTAATTGGGCCAGATGGCATTACATCAATGGATGTTTATAGAGCTCAAAGCAGATATCGAGAAAATAAACAGTTGAGAAATTTTATACAGCCGAATCTCTTTTTTAGATACCCCCTAAATTAGATAGTTCTTAAATTTAGCTAAATACTCTTTGAACTCTTTCAGCTGATTCCGAATTAAATAATATTCATTTTATAGTTTGATTAATCTGGCTGAGAAAGCATTCAGCCGAGCAGTTGAACCTTATTTCCGAATGGCACCTTTAATTGATGATGAAGAATTTTCCTTGATGTTATCAATCCTTTGTTCAACTGGAGGTATTAAATTTGCTTAAAAATTACTTAAAGTAAGGGCTAAGCAAAAGTTTAGCCATTTAACTTATGAGTTAAATGCCATTAACTTATGAGCTTTTTTGGCCATTTAACTTATGAGCTTCATGTCCCTTTAACGCATAAGTTAAAGGAACATGAAATACCCCCTTCGAAGCGGACGGGTCTCAATTACAAAACGGCACACGGACACTCCAAAATTGTGCCCCCTCCCTAAGCAGGGGTACATTAAGTAAGCTTGTTATATTTTATTCTCTTTTCCACTAAGAATCTTAATTTTATTTTTAGCACCAGCAGATCTTATTTCTTCACATGCACGTGTACTGCTCCAAAATGAATGCGAATTTTATTCCAGTAAACTTTTAAATTTTTGTCAAGTTCGTTTTGGAGATGTGAATGGGGCTTGTCGTTATGCTGAGTGTTTGCATTTAATTGAAAATGCATTCGTTTTTGATCGGAATTATCAATTGCTAACTACATATCTTGAAGTATTTTATAACCACAGAAAATTTGAATTGGATAATCAATTCCCTAAATATTTATTAAAATTAGCTTGATTTTTAAGAATTTGCAGATTTCGAATTGTAAAGCTTATTTTTATTTAAAACTATAATTTTATTCTACATGATTTAATGTTAAAACTAGAGTTCAGCGGTATATTATGAATCACGGGTTTGCTGATCCAGATACAGAAAGATAAATCCCGCTTCCAATCAATTCCGATTCCGAGTCCTGTATCGGGGTAATTATTCCACAATCCTGATTTTATTCGTAATCCCGATACTTCTGAACACTAGTAAAAATCCTGTGTGCATAAGCTTTAAAATCACGATGTAAAATGGAAAATATAATGTTATTATCTAATATTTCATAAATCAAATGTATGTGCTTAATTTAAAATTTAAAAATTTTGTTTGGATATGGACAAAATGAGTAAAAAAATAATTTTTTAAAATAACATTTAATACACTCCTGTTGATGTTGTTGATTGTTGAATATTGGTAGTTGGGCATGGACAAAATGAATAGGTAAATGTAGCTGGAGACGAAGGTGTTGTTGTAAAGCTAGTCGATGGGTCTAGCATTGAATTCGTTGTATATGCTGTAAAGCTTGTTGTTGAATCTGGTGTATAAGGAGATGTGGAAGTTGAATATGTAGATGCCAATGTTGTTGATGCTTCTGTTGAAGTTGATGTTGTCCCATATGAATTATTTCTCGATAAAAATGTCGAGCCTGTTGCAAAGCTTGTGGTTGAATCTGGTACAGAAGGTGTTGAAAAAGTTGAATATGTGGTTGTTAATGTTGATGTTTCTGCTGATTCTGTTGTTGTTGATGTTCCATATGCATTGGTTGATTGGGTTAAGTAGGGATAATAACTTTTTGTAGAGGATAGACAAGGGCAGAAAGTAGTTGATGCAGTTAAACCTGTACTTGCTGTACTTGATGAAGTTATGCCTTCACTTGTTGAAGCAGCATTGCTTGTTGTTGAGGCTGCTGTGGAAGTTGATATTGTAGAATCATTTATGGGGATTGTTATGCTACCTATTTTCAGTATTAAACCATCGTCGGCAATTGCTTTGTAAGTTGTAAGTAGCAGTACTATTAAAAACATTTTATTTTTTAATTATTCGAATTTTTAAAAATGAATTAAAGCAATAGTGAATCTCTAACAAAAAAATTTACCACTTTTTAATGTACTTTTAATCCACAAATAATAAATATACTAAAATAATACCTCATTGTAAATAGCTTGTTAATATTGGGTATGTAATTATTATTTTAATTATCCCCTTTGGTAATAAGTCTACTTGTTATTGTTTCCAGCTTACTCATATTAAAACAATATTCACATGATTTCCTTTAATTTTAGATTGTAACTTTAAATATTTAATTGTTAAATTAATAAGATTAAAAATCCATGATATGTATAATATTATCCAAAAAAAACTTCAAAAATTTTTCTCAAGGATTTTTAGTTTCTTATCGATTATAAAATTGACCAGAAAAACCACCATCGGAATTTGGGACGAATTTTTCACCGGCGGGTATTCATTCATCCGCTCAATCATCATCGCCTATGGCGATTCAATGAAGCGTTGCGCGAGCACACAACACCCACACACACAAATTCAATAACCTTCCCTTTTCCAATCCAAATCCCCTCTCTCATCTCTCTCAAAAATTTCAGTCGCCGCAAACACTTTCGCCTTCCTTCGCTGAACTGATGGATTAAATGAACGTCGGCAAGAGATGAAAATGGAGGGGACGTCCTTGAGTTATTCTAAATCTTCAGCTCAAAAGGAAAAATCCTTCCCTTTTTTGACTAAATTCAAAATTTGGATCAATAAACATTAAAAAAAGATGATTTTTGTTACTAGAAAATTTCTAAAATAATTTTTAGCTCAATAATATCCAAGTCTATCTAACTTTTAATCTTCTAGATGACAAACAAAAATATTTATTATATCATTTCATTTTTCCTTATCTCACTTATTAACCTCTCTAATTGTTGTCCTGATCAAGTTCAACAATTTTGTTCATGTGTGGATCAATTTGATGGTGTTTTGCTTAATTGTACAGCTCCATCTTTTGGAAATCAAACTATTTCAGGAGAAACTTGGGCAAAAAGTTTAATGCAGGCGTGTGTTTTACTTAAATTTTGAAGGGTTTAATTAATTAAATTTCCTTTTTAAAGACCCTCAAAAGCAACCAAGCCCATCTTGGATTATTAAAATTATTAGCCATTCATGGAAGCAACGAAGTAACTAGAGAATCATCATTAATTCCCATACTCACCGACAATTTATTTCAAGGACTTTATATTAAAAGGCTTGAACTTGTTGGTTGCGGGATTAGTGTTATACAGAAGGGGGCATTTAGAGGGCTTGAATCTGTACTTCAGGAAATATTAATTACCGGAAATAGAGTAAATTAATTCTTCAAATTTAATCAACCGCTAAAAATACTTGACAGATTCAAGAATTATCTTTCAATGCTTTTCATCAGATGAATGCATTGATAAAACTTGATCTTTCTGATAATTACATTGAGGAATTAAAAACAGAATTGCCAAGAATTTCGAAAGTAAGCTTTATTATTTTATAAAGTCGGTCCTCCCTACTAGAAGATACACCCTTAGGGATGAAAATATTTATCATATACATAGGTGTGTATCTTGAGTAAAAGGCAATTCCTCCATTAGGACCTAGAAAATCCATTACCCAAAGGACTTAGAAAATAAATATGGGCTATCTTCCGCTAGTCCCATTTCTGCAAGAAAATTATTCCAAATTGAGATTATCTAGTACTCTAACAATACATATATCCCTTATATTTCGCCAATAAATAATGCCAATTTTTAAATTTCATTAAATAATACCTTAATAATTAAGCTTAACGACATCAATTTATCGCACAATAAAATAACTGCTATCCACAAAACTTTCTTTGATAATGTTAAGCATTCACTTCAAACAATAAATTTGGGGCATAATCTTCTTGAAGAAGTACCTGCAAGTTGTAAGTAATATTAATATCCCCCCTTTAAATAAGCAAATTTAAGCTCTTCGAGGTTTTCGAATGTTGATGGCTTTACATTTACACAATAATAATCTAAAAAATTTGCCACAACTTTCTTTTATGAATTTACCAGTCCTTTCCCTGTTAAATCTGGCAGCAAATCAAATTCGTTCAATCCATCGTCAGGCTTTCCTAAATGTTCCACAACTTCGATTTCTTTATTTATCAGCAAATCAGTTGTCTGAAGTAATCAACACAGCCATAAAAATAAAGAAAATTTAAACATTTTAAGGTCCAGCCCTTTCAATTTAGTTCCTTTGAGCGATTAGAAATGTTCGATCTGAGCAATAATAAAATTGAAGATCTTCCAAATGATACATTTGCTGGACTTCCAGTACTAAAACAGCTTTATTTGGGGGAGAACTTAATTGATCGTCTACAGCCTGAGGCCTTCTCTTCAAATTCAAGCATTGTTTCTCTGACATTTAATATTTTTTCAATAAATTTATATCCCAGGCAGTACTAATTTTGGAACAAAATAGGATATCAGAACTTCAAAAAGATGTATTTCGAAACCTTCGCCAACTTCAACAACTTTCATTAAAAGCAAACAAGATTAGATCCATTGACGCATCTACATTTCGAGGGAACCCTTCTCTTGCAATGCTTGATCTAAGTCATAATGAAATAATTGATTTGGCTCCTGGAACATTTTTAAATCAGTTAAATTTGCTCTTGGTTGATTTGAGCAACAACAAAATCCTTCGCACTCCTTATGGAGCTTTTGGGCGTAGAGTGGTTACTGTACTTCTCAAAGGTGGATTCTGATAGTCTCTCAGATTATTATTTTCAATTGAATTTTCCCTCAGAAAATCCTTTGGTTTGTGTCGAAAAAATTCACATGCTTCAACAAGGCAATGGACTTTTCATTCCAAACAGTAATGATGCTATTTGTGGGGAATATAAGGCCTATGATGCTTCTAACACTACTACGGTTAGTGTTTCTACGGTTAGGAATAACCAAATGAAAACAAAAAATAATTCAGATACCAAGTAGCGAGTCTGAAGCCAAAAATAGCGGCTTAATTGCTGATCAAGAATCTTCAATTACACCAAGTATAAGTGTGGAAACTGGAGGGGAAGATGAAGATGATAATGAACCTTTAACTTCTCCCTCCCCTTTTGTCCAACAATTGGAAGAAAATCAACAAAATTCTAAAGACAATAAGCAACAGAATATAAGTATAATTACTCCAGGACGAATCAAACCTATTCGGATTATTCCAAATGCTCAACATGTGACAGCTATTCAATCTGATGTTGGAAAGAATTTTTGAAATATAGAAATTTTTTAAATTTATTTAAAGAAAGCATTGACCTCCCCTAACAAAGAAAACAAGCCAATTGCTCTAACCGAAAGTATTATTGAAGATACTGAGTATACTACAAGCATTGAACCGTCATCAACTTCGAGCAGTTATTCTAGACAAGGTCGGTTATAAATTAATGAAATGCCTAAGAGCTATTCAGATTCGACAGTAAACAAAGGACTTGAAACAACCACAACTGAGGTTGGCATAAATCCACGGGTTATCTATCCACATCCTGTTCCGTTTCTAAAGCCTGCTCCAAAAATGCACACCGCTACTCAGTAAGGAGTATTAAAAATATTTTATTCGTTCACTTAATTAAAGCGTTGAAAAAGATCAGAATGGAAATCCAATATTATTACCAACTCTACCTCCTAGCATAGTTGTTGCAGAAAATTCGTGGCATTTGAATCAACATATGCCTTTAGAAGAAGATAAAACTGATCCTAAACCTAGTAGAGAAGGTAGGGAATATTTTTTATAAAAAATATGGCTCACTTTAAGGCATGCGTCACATGAGCGTTTATGCGCCCAAAACTATTTTTGCGTCCCAGCAACTGCGAAAAGCTCATATGACACTAAAAGCTCGTGCGACGCATGTCCTAAAGTAGAGCCAAAATAATTATATACTAAGGTGATAATAAAATAACTACCACATCTTACACCGATCATTCAACCCACAATTATTCAACAGTAGAAAATAACGAAAAAATTGAGGAATTTCCATTGCTTTTATCAAAAACCCCAATAATATCAGAAGAAAATTCTTTCCAGCAAATTGGAGCTGAACTTTCAGAAAAGAGGAGTAACAATAGAAGAATGTTTCCAACAGTAATTATTGTTATTTGTATTGGTGCTGTTGCTGTTGTAATGTGTTCTGTTTTTGTTGGATTATGTGTTGCTAGGAGGTGGTTATTATTAGAGTGCGAACTATGAAAACTGACAGATCCGGTTTCAGGATTTAAAAAAATTCCGAATCAAATCCGGAAAATCCTGTTTATATCAAAATACACGGATTTCGAACCAAAAGATCCGGTCCGATCCGGTCCGGTTAATTTTAGGCTATAAATTATCCCTTTATTCAGGCGCAAGCTTCGCCAACTTCATTCCGATACAGGCATAAGTTTGGGTACAGCCGGCCTTGTTGGAATGCAATCCTCATCCTTATCATCTCATTCGCCCATTTCAAATTCATTCATGAATACTGCTAGCACTACTAGAGCGGCACAAATGGGAGGGTTTTGCTATATTTCTGGTCCGAATCAGCAAAGGCATTATGAAACTTTAAAAAGGTTAGGCTTTTCTTACAATTTTATTAATAATCTCTGACTTAAGAGAAGGAATACAGCAAAATTTTGGCGGAACATTGAATAGATTGTCTACTACACAAGAGGATATTTATGGATGGCTTTATACTCCTTGTGGATATAATGCTTATCGGAAATAAATTTTGACATGACCAGAAAGTTTATTTATTAAGATTTTTAAAGTTCAATGAAAATTCAAGAAAATTCCGGTCATATGTAAAAACAGGTGCAATAAATATATAAATTTTTCCAAAATTCATTCCATATGTTTATTTAAAATTTTTAATAAATTTCAAAAAAATTTTTGAGTCTTTTTGAATTAAAAATTCATATTGATAATGCACAAGTTATATGCTCCAAAAATAAAGTAACTCTGTCCAATTCCAATGGAACTTTTATGTAAATCAAAATAATTTTTGCAATACAAAAGCAAAAGTCTTAGAAAGTTCTCCCTTCTGTGAATACATACAAAATTTTGAATAATGATGTTAAAAATATTTAAGTAAATTTTTAGATTTTATATGTTAATTAAGACTGGGTAAATAGTTTTAAGTTTAAATGCCCCCTCCGAAGCAGGGGACGGGTCTCGTGTACAAAACGGCACACGGACACTCCAAAATTTATGCCCCCTGCACGAAGGCAGGGGACGGTCCAAAATTTGTGCCCCCTGCACGAAGGCAGGGGGACTTGGGTTGCCCCCTGCACGAAGGCAGGGGGACTTGAGTTGCCCCCTGCACGAAGGCAGGGGGACTTGAGTTGCCCCCTGCACGAAGGCAGGGGGACTTGAGTTGCCCCCTGCACGAAGGCAGGGGGACTTGGGTTGCCCCCTGCACGAAGGCAGGGGGACTTGAGTTGCCCCCTGCACGAAGGCAGGGGGACTTGGGTTGCCCCCTGCACGAAGGCAGGGGGACTTGAGTTGCCCCCTGCACGAAGGCAGGGGGACTTGAGCTGCCCCCTGCACGAAGGCAGGGGGACTTGAGTTGCCCCCTGCACGAAGGCAGGGGGACTTGAGTTGCCCCCTGCACGAAGGCAGGGGGACTTGAGTTGCCCCCTGCACGAAGGCAGGGGGACTTGAGTTGCCCCCTGCACGAAGGCAGGGGGACTTGATTGCCTCCAGCCGAAGCAAGAGGACTTTTGGAGCGCTCGAAGTATTAAAAATAATTATTAGTATAAGCTTTGAAAATAAAAAATTTTCAACGGTAAATAGCAAAGGGTTATAGAACATTAATTATTTATTTATTCATTTAATAATTTCTATGTCTTTCCTTATTTCACTTTTCTTTCTTTTTTTCACTGTTCTCTTTATCTTTCTTTTATTCTCTTTCTTTATTTTGTGAATAAAAAAATACACGAAATATCTAGAGTCTTGTTTTATCAAAATGGTCATAAGTGTAAAATATTTAAAATTGTCGAAGGGCAGATTTTTTTAAGTTTAGCACCTATTAATCTTTTAATAATTATTTTTCCAGAAATTTTTTAAATTTTGTAAGATAAGGTACTTTCTATTTACCTAAATAATGCTCAAATATTATTCGCAAAACATTTTTACTTAAGAGCAAAACAAAAATTAAACGCTTGATCCAAACGTAAATAGACAAGAATTTGAGAAAATCAAACAAACAACAGCGTTAGAAAGGAAAAAGTTTTCAAGACGGATTTGGATTTTGGAAGAAACCAAATGAGGCTGTAGAGGAAAGAGAGGGGTCGGGACGGCACCTCCTTATCCTCACAAAAATTGGGGTGGTGGTTGAAGAGTTGAGTCGTGGCACCAGCTAGTGAATTGTGGCACTAGCACCAGACTGTTGGTAGTGCCAACAGTCGAAGGAAGAGAAGGGCGGTGAGTGACTCGGAGCACGCGTCACTTTAGCCAAGAAGAGTAGTGGTGAACGGTAGTGCCGTTCACTTTACCAACCAAACAAAAAACACAAGTCCAGCCAAAAAAAGTTTATTTTCCACAAACAAATAAACAAAGGTAGCGAACAAGTTGAGGGCCAGCAAGGGCCAGCGAAGCAGATCAGCCACAAGTAGTTGATGGTAGTTGAAGTGGTTGAAGAAGAATGAGGAATATTTAGGTGGCTGATCTACCTCTTAAATAGGCACAAAATAAGGGCGGGGTTTGGCATTAAAAATTCCAAAAAATGTAAGTTTGAAAAATTTGCGCGAAGTGGCTAGAGAAAAATAAAACAGAAGGGAAGACTCGGCAAGAGAAGCCAAGTCCAAAAACAAAAGAAAAAATGAGTAAGAGAACGGAGGGTGGCTGGCACGAACGGACACAAAAAATAAATGAAAGGAATTTAGGCGGGAAAACAATTCAAAAAACAAAGAGTGGACGATGAAAATATGAACGGTGAACGAGCAAAAAATTAACCAAACTTGAACGAGTAAAAAAGTGATCAAAAGTCGCCAATGTTTGGCGACACTCCCCCCGCCCACATCACAAAAGTTTGTCTTCGTCATCATCGTCTTCTTCTTTCATCAACCATATTCATGAGTTCATCATCGGCTTTTCCGTTCATCTTCCAGATTCGAGTCAGGGCAAGTGGAGAGCCACGGGCTGCGTCCGTATTTACAACACGGTGCGTGGTTGCATGGTGTGGTCCAAAGCAGTGATGATGGTGATGGAGTGCCCTTTCACGACTTCCCCTTTTGAAAGCTTTTGGTGAGGGGCGGCACTCCACTACCTTGCTTCCTCGTTGTCGTCCAGGTCGTTGTCGAATTGAACACAAGGCAATTGTCTCGACGGCATCACAGTTTGTAGTTGGTTGTTCAGTAGCAGTCACGGTAATTCCATCACTAGCAGCCGCAATAATAGTTCCAGCTTGGGTAACACACATAAATTTTCCCGAGTTAGAGAAGCTCGTTGACGTTTGATTTGTGGCAGCTGCGAAGGTTCCACCCTTTGAGGTCATTGATGATTGCAATGGCTTTCGTTGAGCATTTCGTACAATTTGTTTATACCAACAGGCAATACCAACAATCAGTAGAAGGGCCAGCATCAACAGAAAATGCATAGATGAGCATTTGAAGAGGGCAGTAGAGCCAGCGTTGATTTTGTTGATGCGCCACGAGCATGCTGAACAAACACGATTGGAACGGTTAGAACTGTTAGACCCATTATCAGTTGGACGAGTCAATTGACCATTTTTAGATTTGCGCAGGTTGGCTTTTAGTATATCCGAATTTAACCACACTTTGCGTCGACGGTGACGGTTGGTTCTTCCGTTGTGCACAGTTGAGCTGGTTGACGACTGGAAGTCAGTTTCAGAGTCGTTAAGTGAGCTAGTGAAGACCATTCCAGAGTAGGTCACTTCAGGCTGCGGTGGTGTAGGAACTCTCCAATTTGCTTCAGATGGTCCTTTGTGGTGGCCAGTTGGGTAGTACACACGCTTTCTGGGTTGAGTTTGTTTCCAATTGGCTTCAGACGGTCCATCGTGGTGACCATTTGGGTAGTACGCACGCTTTTTCGGTTGACGTTGTGTACACAGCATGAAGTGGTGTCGGCCTCCACATCTACGGCATTTATTGGCAGCACGGCATTTGTTGAGCATATGACCATCGTATAAGCAGTTGAGGCAACGTCCTTGTTCAAATAGACGGGCTTTGCGTCTGTTGCGGGAGTTGAACATCGGACAACGGCTTGGTTTGTGTGTTGACCCAGTACGGCAGAGTGAGCAACCATTTTCTTCAATTGGTGACTGTGGTGGACAAGCATATAGTTCAGGCTGTTCGTCAAGTTGCTGTGGTGATTGTGCAGTCATGAATGAACGAGAGACATCAGCTGGTCCGTTGTGATTACTTCGTTCAGTCGGCTGGCTGTAGTGAGGTTTCTCCTTAAGCATGGTTGGTTGTTCCAACTTGGTTGGACGAAGTGTGGTGCTTTGATCGTCCACCCCTGTGGCAGACTTCTCACTTCGTTGAGACGAAACAGGACCCAGATTTAGTGCACGTCTTTGTTGTAACTCCACGTTGGCCAAGACAACCAGTTCATAAGATCGTTCAATTTGAGTGAAAACAGTAAGTTCATCCGCCATTCTTGCTTCACCTCGTGGCAATGGAAACGCTTGTAAAACATCCATTTCTTTTTGTTGTTGAGTTGGAGCAACAACCACATACCATTTGTCAACCAGCACTTCTGCTCTTCCAATAGATTGTTTGAGTTGGAATGCCAAACGTTCCAAGTGATCATCGTCTTGTGTTGTAGTGTTGCTAGCATTGAGGGCAGTCAGAACAGCAAACCCTTTATCCTTCATAGTGGCCAGGACCATTGACAATTGTAGTTGAATCACACCAGACATTGATGTGGCTGTAGCTCAGCTCACTGGTGTAGTAGTAGTTGTAGTATTGGTTGTTTTGTTGGTGGCTGTCGTTCAGCTCAACCAAACAGAGTAGTTGTTGTCGTGGCTGTTGCTCAGCACACACACCAAAATTTGGAGTAGTTGTTGTGGTGTTGGTAGTTAATGTAGTAGTAGCTGTTGTTGTTGTTGAGTGTTGTGGCGGTGGTTCCGCTCACACACGAGTAGTTGAAGTTGTCGGTGTAGTAGTGTTGTGGTGGTGGCTGTAGTGCAGCTCACACACAAAAAATGGAGTGGTTGTTGTAGTGTTGTGGCGGTGGCTCCGCTCACACGCGAGTAGTTGAAGTTGGTGTAGTTGTGGTGGTGGCTGTAGTGCAGCTCACGCACGAGTAGTTGTAGTGTTGGTGGCTGTTGCTCAGCTCAACCAAAATAGTAGTTGTTGTTGTTGTAGTGGTGGTGTAGTGTTGTCCCCGTCTTCCCGGGTCGTGGCACCACTTTTTGTAGAGGAAAGAGAGGGGTCGGGACGGCACCTCCTTATCCTCACAAAAATTGGGGTGGTGGTTGAAGAGTTGAGTCGTGGCACCAGCTAGTGAATTGTGGCACTAGCACCAGACTGTTGGTAGTGCCAACAGTCGAAGGAAGAGAAGGGCGGTGAGTGACTCGGAGCACGCGTCACTTTAGCCAAGAAGAGTAGTGGTGAACGGTAGTGCCGTTCACTTTACCAACCAAACAAAAAACACAAGTCCAGCCAAAAAAAGTTTATTTTCCACAAACAAATAAACAAAGGTAGCGAACAAGTTGAGGGCCAGCAAGGGCCAGCGAAGCAGATCAGCCACAAGTAGTTGATG